AATAAGTAGTCTCTTAAATTCACAAAAGGGAAACATTCTTCTGAAAACAATTTATACTGAACACACTGCATATAAACTCACTTTTAGTATTAGACTTCTGTTATGCAGTAAACTTTACTTTCTAACATGCATTTCTCATTTACAGAAGATACATTAATAACACAAATCTGAAGAAAAATTGTGTCATGATTACTGAAATTTGAGAGTACATATCATAATCAGTGAGATTACTAACTTTTTTAACATATAGACCTTTTAAATGTATTTATATTTATATTTTAGTTGTCCAGATCATTTCTTTCTATTTTTTAGTAGAGACGGGGTCTCACTCTTGCTCAGTCTGGTCTCGAACTCCTGACCTTGAGCGATCCACCCGCCTCGGCCTCCCAGAGTGCTAGGATTACAGGCGTGAGCCACCGTGCCGGCCATCACCAAAGTTTTTAAAGGCTTTTTTTGTTTGAACCTGGAAGAGATGTTAAGTAGACAGTAAACAGGTTTCGATATGCTATTTAGACAAGAAGGCTGGAGTCATGTATTCAGTTCTCTACAAAACATAAAGGATACTCATGTGAACTGGGCTCTACCTGTCTCCTACGAAGGATCAGAAGTTTTCCTTTGAAATGTCAGACACCTTTTTTTCTCACCACAGTCTCCCCATTTGCTACAGATTCCACAGTCTGCTCTTCCTCACTAAACATGCAACAACCTGCTTGTGATTCTCTGGGAAAGGACAAAGAAATGCCAGAGGAAGCGCAGCGCTTGGATGCGGAAACTGAGCAACCCCAGTGTGGTCCGGAGAAGAACAACTCAGACAGTGTCCCCTGGAAGCTTCCAGCAACAGGTCCTGTTAGCTTCATGGGGAAGACGGGGTCATCCTGCCCGGCGGTGCAACCCCCAGGCCACGGAGCCTCTCTTCAGCGCCCCCTGAGGAGCCTGCGTAAGAAGCACTGCGAGAACCAGGGTGGTTTTCTCCAGTTTGACCGGCAAGCCCCAGGCCGCATTTCTGTCTCCCCGACTCTGAGGAGATTAAGGGGCAGCGGCTGTGGAACTTGGCACTCGCCACCTCAGCAAGACGCCTTGCAGGTGCCCACCTGGGGAAGCTGGAGGGAGCCCGCAGGCTCCCTGCATTACCTTTCCAAGAGTCTGCCTGGAAGCCCAGAGGACTCTCCGCACTCCCTACCACCCCGGATACTTTGCTCAAGGTTGCCTTCCGACCCTGAAAGGACCCTCAATGCAGCTGACTCGTTCGAGCCCCAGCCCAGCCCCTCTGACAAGCAAGCCCTTCCCAAGCTTCGGCCCATCAACGAGGGCTGTCTTCACCAGGCCTGTCCGCTGGGGCGAGAAGGCCACTCCCTGCCCAGCCCCACGCCGCGGTGCCCTGGCCCTCAGGTAACACAGCTCGAAGCCTTCTGCCTCTCACTTAGTGAACCACAAAACAAAATAGGTCCCCAGGGCTACCACATGTCCCCAAAGGCCAGGAGATCCTGTGGTAGGAGATAGCACAGAAGGTCACTGCTGAAGGGACACACACTCTTTAGGAAGCTTTGGCTCTCAAGTCAAAGGGGTGTAGCAATTTAGGGAAGAAATAAAACGGAGGTGTAGGTCACTTTCTTCTAATCCTTGAAGGCACTTTAAGAAACGGCCCACCACGGCCAGGCTACCGATGTCTGTCAGGCATTGGATAATGACAGTGGCCCTCTTGCAAATACTCTCCATTTAAAGACAACCTGGTGGTAACTGGTTTAAAAGGGGGAAAAAGAGCCAATTATTCAAATTTCTAGTCTTCCCCCTCCAAAAAAAAAATCCAAAACATTTTAACTAGGACAGTGAATTGTTTTTCCTTTCAAGATGTCTGCTTTGGAATTTTGGACGGGTATGAGCAAGACTAAAACATATGTTTTTTAAAATTTATTACAGGCAGAAGAATCACATCCATCCAGGTATGTATGCAGTTATTTTCTCCAGTGCTGTGACATGTGTTGACTGTTCACTTTTCCATCTTTATTTCTGTTCTGACATGACAACCCTGATGGTGTACTATTAACCAGCGCACTTTGTTGTACGACGCCCACGTCACTCTTCACGTCTGTGGGTGCAAGAGTCTTAATTTCAAGTCTCCTTTAAGAGCACAGCATTTTGGGCAGTGGGGTACAACAGCGGTCCTGGTTTTCATTTTGAGTTGTCAGTGCCTTAGCCCTGTGGCTTAATTAACATCCATTTAGTGATTGGTTTTGTCTGGTAAAGAAAATGGAAAGGCCAGAAATATTTAACAGCTTTTCAAAGCAAAATTTAGAGGACAAGAATAAAAGGAACAAGATGTTCTGTTTAAATCTAGGGCGACCTTTAAAATGCCTGGTGTGACAGACTGTGCCCTTATCTAGAACGAAGGGGACTGTGTCGTTTCAGAAACCAGCTCTGAACTCTCAGCGTAGCCCCCAGGCTGCGGCAGTGGATTTGCCATCCCTCCCATGCATGAACAGTTTCCTTGGCAGAGAGGGAAAGATCCACACCCAATTTCATCTCCCTAATTTGTGGGACTGACAGCAAGGTCTTCGTTTCATTTGGAAAGTCACAGAGGAGTCCTTGGGGGAAATAGCCACTGTTTTATTGCTGGACCTCAATCCTAAAGCAATAGTTTTGCTGTTTACAGTAGTAAAGATGCTATCCATCTGTGCATTCTTTGTTGATTTTAACCCTAGTTAGCCTAAATGTATGAATGAAGCTTGAGGATATTTACAAAGCCACAGGAAAATGCAAATTACCCTGTTAGTGTATCAGTTAGTGATTACTGTGTAACAAACCACCCTAAACCACTTAAAATAACGTCTCGTTATTGTTTCTTATAAATCTATGTGTCCCCTGGGAGTCAGTTGACCTAGGCTGGGCCCAGCTAAGAGGTTCTGCTCCACGTATCTCTCATCCTGCTCATGGAACCAAAGGGCTCCTTCCTGGGCATATTCTTCTTACGGTGAAGGGAGAGGTCCAACAGGACAAGTGGAAACACTCAAGTCCTCGTGGAGCTTGGGCTCTGTATCTGGTCTAATTTTCTTGGCCAGACGAAGTCACTGGGTTGAACTCGGGGTCGGGGAATTATGTGTTACCAACAATGGGAGAGGACTGAAGTGTTAGGTGCAAAGGGCGTGGATACAAGGATGGAGTCAGATCAGACAGGGCTTAACAGGATGTTTAGGAATTTTGTTCTTTACACTAAGAGTAGGGTGAAACCATTGGATGGATTGATATGAGCAGGTGGATGTAAGGTACGTGTGGGATTTAGATGAGAATGGACTTAAGTAGAATAATTAGAGTGTTTAGATATGAGAAGTTGGTAAGTTAAACTATGAAGGCAATGAGGTTAAAAAGAAGTATCTCAGTATAGGAGATATTTAGGAGATATAATGACCCAGACTTTGAGAATGGTAGAGTAAGGGGTGAGGGAAAGGAAGTTGTCAAGAATGACCTCCAAGTTTCTGGCCTGCCCAACTGGGTAGCCGATGTTTTCATTCACTGACCTAGATAAACTTGGGAAAAGGAGGGAGTTAGGGGTCGATGGGGTGTAGGTCTTGACTTCAGGTTTGGACTTGTTGAGTTCGAGGACCTATGGAACATCTGAGTGGAGATTTTGAGTAAATAGTTGGTTAGAGAAGGCACCAGGGATGGATATGCTATATATATATTTGTGAGTATTTAACCAATGAATGTTTCCTAGAGCAGGTAAAGTCTGGGTCCAGCGTTGATTATTAAATGGAGCCAGCAGACACAAAGGCTAAGCAATGGGATGCATCCAGCCATTTACAAAGATGACATAGGGGCAATTTTCACTGCCATGTGGAATCTTTGTGAGGAAATAACAGAAAGAGTCTTGCTAATTTAAAAAACAACTAGGTCAAAGGGATGGAGGCTTAACAAAACTGTGGGGTTCAATAATCTGTAAAGGGATTAGTTTAAAAAAAAGGAAACTGTGGAGTTCAACATGTCACAATCACATACTGTAAAACAGTTGAAGATTACAAAAGTCACAATAGGGGTGGAGAGGGGGCAATTTGAATATCTTGTATCTAGTGATGACTTTGAATTATTCAATATTGTTTCTTTAGGACCTAGCATAATGCTTGGCATATAGCAGGCAATGGATAAATGAGAGACTAAGTAAATATACTCTATGAACTAATATTTTAAGTAGACATTCTTACATTACTACTAATAAACAAGAAGTAAATAAACAGATAATTCCCGTTTCTCTGTGCTCCCTCCCTCTCTTCCTCCTCGTGTCTCTGCAGCCTTTTCCGCAGCTGCCATTCAATGTGCCCACTTCCTCTGAACGGCTGCTTACCAGGCTGTGTAGTCACATAATGTCAGGAAAAAAGCTCTGCATGAGGCCCTGCTGTTCATCCTAGAACTAGAGTTCTCTCTCAGAAAATTTATGCCTATTAAGTGGTATAAGCCAGGAGCTAGCAGACCATGGTCCATGGCCCAAATTCAGCCCACCACCTGTTTCTGTAAACAAAGCTTTGTTGGAAACCACTGATGCCCATCCATTTGTGCATTGTCTGTGGCTGCTCCTACACTACTGTGGCAGAGTCGATTAGTCATAAGAGACTGCCTGGCCCACAAAGCCTAAAATATTTACTCTCTGGCCCTTTATGGAAAAAGTTTGCTGACCCTTGGTGTATATAATTAAGAAACGCTCACCTCTGTGGCTGCCAATCACAACCACCTTTTTTGGCCTTGCAGAATAGATATGAACTTTTTTTAAAAAATACTGATTCTCCTTTCACTCCAGTGTTTTAACACTTTGCCTGACAACCGGACAGGTTTGTGTAAGTGAGAAGGGCTCAATACACTCTTAGTTCTGAAATCAGCTGGGTGGTAAACATTTGCTTCCAGGTTTTTCTTTGTGAACTCGTTTTCTTGTCATTCTCTCTTTCCCTCTGTAATATTCAAGTGAATTCATACTAACTCCAAACCTTCTTCTTCTATCACCAAAATATGCCTCCTGCGAAAAATATCTTTACAATTCATTCTTACTAAAGTGTGAAAGATGTTAGGCTTCAGGGATATAAACTCTCATCTTTCCAAGTAGAGCCAGTACATTCCTTCCTTTTGGATTTCCCTGCACCTTATAAAAGTCTCCATCATAGTTTGTAAAACACACTACTATGTTTCTTTTACATTCATCTGCCCCCACCTTTCTGAGAGAAGAAACCACTTCTTATTGATCTGTAAACCTCCAGCACCCAGTAACCAACTAGAATCTACCTCCAAAAATATTTACTGAAAAAGAAAAAAACAAATGGAAGAAGGAAGACAGGCAGGCTGGCAGGCTGCTTGGATTACAGTGTCACTTACTATCCCCAATGTATTTGCATTTTGACAAAGGACATGGTTTGAAGCCAAGCAGTGAAGCTGTGTTGGTGGGATTTTAAACATCAGGTAGTAAATAGGGGAGATTTTGTGGGCAGGAGACATTCCTGGCACCCCTTCAATTTTGTGTTTACAGAAACCTGTCTGTCTCACCAAATTTTCAGGTCAGCCCTGAATCGGCTGAGAACGGAAACTTACATACCACTTTTCTGTGAGAAAATAGACTAACCTTCCAGTGCTGAAACACAAACAGGAAAAAAGTTAAATATATCCAAATTAGCAAGTGGAGGCAACATTAGCATGAAAACCAAATGATGAGATATTTGAAAGTCTATCTTGAGGAAGAAAACAGACAAAAATATTGAATGCCAGTAAAACTTCCCCCAAAGTCAGATTCATCTGGGGTTACCATTAGGGGGCAGCAGAACATGAGGTTAAAAGCTACTGGAGACAGACTCCCCGAGTTTGAATCCTATCTCCATTTCTCTCTGGCAACATGATCTTGGGCAATTTCCTTAACAGCTCAAAACTTCAGAGTCTTCATCTCTGAAGTGGAGCTACAAATATAGTCATGAGCAGCATAATGACGTTTAGGTCAATAATGCACTGCATATATGATGGTGGTCCCATAAGATTATAATACCGTAATTTTACTGTGCCTTTTGCATGTTTAGTGTGTTTAGATACACAAATAGTTTCCATTGTGTTACAGTTGCCTACAGTATCAGGCACAGTAGCATGCTAACAGGTTTGTAGCCTCCGAGCAATAAGCTAGACCACAGAGTCTAGGCTTGGAGTCTTAGGCTGTATCATCTAGGTTTGTGTAAGTACACTCTATAATGTTGGCACAACAACAAAATTGCCTAGTGACACATTTCTCAGGAAGTATCCCCATCGTTAAGCCATGCATGACTGTAATATCCATCTCATGAGCCTTTTAAGCTGACTAAATTGTATAACTCAAATATTAATAGTAGCTATTGTTATTTTTAGAGACCATTAATTCATTTATTCATTCATTCAGCACTTCCCATATGTAAGTCGTTGAATTATGCTTTCTAAAATATTCTGACCTCAGAGTTAAATGGTCGATTGCAGAAAGCTCATCTGCTGTGTCTGAACATTAGGTTCAATTCAATATCATACTCTCCACAGACTTTTATTTAAAACTTGTTGTATACCTAGCACTGTCTGTAAAGTCTGGGAAATACAGGAGAGTTTGTCAGCTCTCTCAGAGCTTTAAAGTTTGTTGGATTAACTAGAGACTAACAGACGATATATTGTTAATTACTTAAAAGAAAAGACTGCGGCCTCTGGGAGCTTTCCTGCTCTGGGCGTGGCTGCAGGGAAGCCAGGTGCTATTCTGCCACCAGCATCAGCTCACCTGGAATGTAAGTTCCAGGAAAGCAGGATTTTTGTCTGTTTTGTTCATTGCTGTATCCCCAGTGCCCAGAACACTGCCTGGTGCATAGTAGGTGCTCAATAAATGTTTAAGGAACACTAAAGAAAAGAAGAAAAGAAAAAAGGAAGTCAATTGGTTAGTTAGGTTTTGACACATCTTGTAGGGGAAATTATATGATCCCCTTTTTGTTCTGTGTATTTTTCCCTCCAAGTATTTATTTGGTTCTCTCCAATACCTTTAGACCTCCCCCATCTTCCTTACTGTTTCATGATCATCTCTCAAGTGTACCTGGGGTTCGTGGAGATTTGTATTGCTTGATCCCTCTAAGGTGTATGTTGACTCTTGTCTAGAAAAGACAGTAGCCTAGAAAGAGAGCAAGAGTTCTGGGCAGTTACCAGCAGCTACCGTGGTGCTCTGAACACATGTGTGTTCAATAAAATATTACTTATTGACCCAAGACATCACAGCACAGGGTGTTTTCCACACACTGACCAGACTCCTAAGAGGCGCCTCTGTTCTGTATTCAAACTGATGGACTGAGGACGAGGCTTCCTCGTTCAGTCCGCAGTTATGAATTAGCCACCGTTTACCAGGTTCTGGACAGTAAACTACAGGCTCCTCCTCCTTTCTGCCTTCTCATTTGGGTTTCCTGAAAATGGAACATTCTGATAGAAAGTTAAACTGGAAACTATTGTCAAACAAACAAAGAAACATTCCCAACTATCTTCTGCACCTCGTAATAAAAAAATATATCCTAGATTTAGCCAAGAGAGCTATAGTTCAATAATTTGCAGGAGAGTTGTCATTTCTCTGTTGATTATTTTTAAAAGTGTTTTTTTAAAAAAGTTACTGATTCTTAATTTGTTCCTCCTGTGTAATCTACCCATAGTTATAAGCAAGCATTCCAAATTGCACTGTATTTCTTGCATAGGGTAAAACACTGTGATTATTAAAATGGAATGCCTACTTGTTCTAGTGAAGCAATTGCTAAAAAGCTGCCGGCTGGAAAAGGCTGCATTTACCATGAACCTTTACTATCAGACAAGGACTATGGTTTCTGAGGAATCAGGCTTGATAAACCTGCCTGATTGAAAAAAAAAAAAAAATGGGTAACATTCATAGCAAGGGAAAAGATCACACCGTGCCTTATCCAAGTTATAATGCCTTAAATAAGATGTTTATTCCTTTAAGACATACATATCACTGTAGAGCAATTGCACTCCCCATATTTTCTAGCATTTTTTATTTCTTCTTAAAATTTGGGAATTAAAGGCCAGTAGTCCCGGGTTTAAGTCCACTGTACAGAAGGAATCTCTTAAAAATGTAGATGATCTATTAGTCATATTTCTAAAAGGGGAACTTTGAATTATTCTTCTTCAAACATTTCTGCCAAGAAAAAGGTCACCACATAATTACCGCCCCCACCACGGCCGCCGCAGGGGAGAGTGAGAACAGTGCTCCTGAACCCTCGAACTTAGACCAGGATGGGCGGAAAGACCCTCACTCACCGCATTCGTTTTCCACGTGAGGAAATGGAGGCCCCAGGAAAGGGATATGCCAAGGTCACACGTGAAGGTCACGGTTGGAATCTGGGTCCTAAGTCGAGTGTCCTTGCCAGTACTGCCCCCATATTAGTTTCCTGTGGCTGCTATAATAAATGACTACAAATCGAGTGGCTAAAACAACAGAAATGTATCCTCTCTCAGTTCTGGAAGCCGTAAATCCTAAATCATAGTATAGGCAGAGCCACGCTCCCTCTGAAGGCCCTAGGGGACCTCTCCTTGCTTCCTCATCCAGGCGTTCCTTGGCTGTGGCTGCGTCACCGTAATCTCTGCCTCTGTCCATTTTCACAGGCTTTCTCTCCTCTCTGTGCACTCCTCTGGGTGTTTCTTATAAGGACACTTCTCATTGGATTTAGGGACCACCCACTAGAATAATCTCATCTCAACATCCTTAATTTAATTACATCTGCTAAGACCCTTTTTATAAAAAAGGTCACACTCACATGTTCCAGGGGTTAGGATGTGGACATGTCTTTTGGGAGGACCACCATTCAAACCATGACACTCCCCTTTTACCTAAAGTAGTAACCATCATCATAATCATTTTTTAAAAACTCTTTGTGCTTTAAAATGGTTGGTAGTGTCTTTCTCTCTTCTCCCGATTTACAAGTCATTTTGGAGTCAGACCTGCATGAATTTTGAATTCTGGCTCTGTCATTCTCTAAAACAATGCAACCTTAGGTAAGCTCCTTATCCAGCCCTCTAAGCCTCAGTTTCCTCTGGTCTAAAATGAGAGCAGTAATTTCCACTTCATAGGGTGTTTGTGAAAATCAATACGAGGATGCACGAAAAGCACTTAACACAGAGTCTAGGAAGAATCACTTCTCAGTAAATGCCAGCTGATTTTAAATTAGAATAATATTCACCAAGACCAATCTATCGCTTACAAAATGTATGCATTTGAGGTCCACTGGGGACACATTTCCAGTAGCCAGAAACTTTTCTGGCACCAGCATGTGAGAGCAGCCTCATTGTTGAGTGTCAATGCCGGGGTGTGCGGCCTGCTCAGCAGTGGGGGAGAATTCCCTGGATTCTCTGAATTGTTGCTGTCCCAGCCCACATCATGGACCTTCAGATCTTCAGCAGAGGATAGAATAAGGAGAATAAGCAGACGTCCTCCTACCAGAAGGGAGACGGGATTATTCCAGCAACCATGGGACTAGTCCCTTCGGATCTGACCAGCTTGGAGCAACGCACCTCGGGGTTAGTGAAAGTGTGGCTGTATTTGGGTTTCTAAATGGGGGGTGGGAAGGGGGACCAGGGGAGGGGTGTCAGGCCTTAGAGAGCTGCGCGGTCTGGGGCAGGCAGGCACCCAGTTATATTAATACAACGTTCTGGGTCCAGAGTTTGTCCTAAAGCAAAGAACCAGAATAGCCAAGCATCAGACCAAAAAAAAAAAAAAAAATGTATTTCTCAAGGATATTTGTTTAGTTGTGTTTTTCTAAACAACTGAAGGGCAGCATTAAGTTCAACTGTACTTACACAGCGACAATGAGTTTTGCCAGGCACACCCCAAATATTTTGCATTTATTATTAGTTCATTTAGTAGCTTAATCTTCCCTGCCCTCTTTACACAAAACATCCCTACCCCACACAGATACCATTTTGTTGGGGGGAAGAGGGTAAGTATTCTGAATTCATTGCAATGATTGCTTCCAGTGGATAAACAATCCAGAATCAGACACAATAATTCTGTATGAATGCCACTTTTTATATGAAGCAATCCTAATGTTTAGAACAGCCGAAACAAGATACCAATTTGGAACTATAAACACACCCCTCTACCCACCACAAGACCTAAATTCAATGTCATGCTGAACTCATTATAACCATTTACATTAATATCATTAATCCAATGATTTGAGCAACCCTGACTGACACAGACTCAGGTCCTTTCCTGAGTGCCCAGAAATCTAGTCCACAGCCAGGCATGGGTGATATGGAGTCACATTTTCTGTGCCAATCCATGTCTCTTCATGCTTCTGACTGTAGATGTTCTTTCTGATTGTTTTCCTAGGTCCCTACATGGCTACAACTGTGGTTCTTGGTATTTCTGTTAACCCATGCTCTCTTTTGATGAACAAAACAATTTCATGCCACGGAGATTCTGTTACACCCCTCCAGGGGTACATCTGCCCTTGCAGAATGAGCATCACTGGGTTTAGAACACCAAGGCAAAAAAGCCAAGGTCATGGCTGAAGCCCTGTGCAAGCCGGTTATCTTCCCTCTGCTGCATATATGCAAATTCAACTCCAAGCCTGATCTGTGTGCTCCCAAATGGATGCATTAAGTCAGAAGTTACCCCTGGCAAGGGAGGAATGGATAGGGGTAATGTAACCAACCACTTTGAAGGAGGTGGGGGTTGATGAGCACTCAGATTTCATTTTGCTTTTGTAGATGCATATTATGATTCATTTGTGATCCAGAAGGGAAAACAAATTCATTTGAGGACTGTCAGTATTTTATCCTACAAATCAACATGTCTATTTATTCAACAAGCCTATTTGAATCCCTATTCTATGTCAGGTTCTATGCTAAGAGATTAGATTCTGGGATATATGAGACCCAGTATAAGCCTTCTGTGAAATTATTATAAAGAGACAAGGTAGAGGTAGGAAAGGGAGACAGAAACAGAAAGAATTGATCCTTCCTGAATGGATCAGAAAAGACTTCTGGAAGAAGAACATCTAAGCTGGAATTTAGAGAGGAATATGAGTTTGCCAAGCAGATAAAGTGGAGACAGGCAGGCAGATGGGAACTACCTGAGCCAAGGCATGGAGGCGTGAAGTGCAGTGTGTTTAAAGAACAGTACACACGCAGCTAGCTATTACCAGGGTACACATTCTGCGGGCGTTTGTGTAGGAAAATGACAATGATCAATCACTCTGAGTATGTGCAGGCTTGGTTATTGCTCCATTTACTTAAATGTTTACTGAGCTCTTGCTAAACAGAGGGATTTAGACCAGGAGCTAGGAGCTGAGGTGATAAGGGAAATAAGACATGAATCTACAAAACGACCTTGTAAAGTAAGACGCTTTCCATAAGGACGGACAAATCAGAGGATTATTTCATGCATTCGTGTTCATCAGTTATAATAGATTGAGCTCTGAATTAGCACCTACCAACATAAATGACGATAAGACATGCACTCAAAGAGCTGGCAGTCTGGTGGAATAAACAGATGCATAAATAGAACACTATGTTACAATGTATTCAATAAACGACATGATAGTGTTTACTGACTGCTTACTAAGTTCTGGACTCTGATTTAAGTGCTTTATATTGATTAATTTAATCCATCTTCACACAATATTATTATTGTCTACATTTCACAAATGCAAAGTAGGGGCCAGAGAGGTTGCTTAACTTGCTTAACCCAGGACACACAGCTCAGATTAACATCTAGGCAATTTGACCCCACATTCTTCACCACCACACCAGGGAACTGTAGAAGCACGGAAGAGAAACATGTAAGTCAGCCTAGAAGGGGCCAGGGAAGACTCATCCTTCCACCCCAGCAGCAGTAATGTGCTCTCTGAGGTCTCCAGGGAATATAAAGACAGTTTATAGAATCTTAGGAAACTACCAAGTTCATGATACCAGATTGTGTAACATCTAGTTTTAAGCTCAAAAGGGTAAGTAATTTTTTTCCCCAAAATTCACTTAGGTTATATTTCTCACTTAAATGATTGTAATTTTTCCAATGCCCACCCAATTCAGCCCCATTCCCATAAATACCTAAATTTCATTATATGCTTCTAGGATTTTTTATCAAGGGAAGTATAAAGTTGATGATGAAGCTTCTGATGTTTCTCCTCAGGGGTCTTCTTTTTGTGTGCTCTCAGCATTTTGTGTTATATAATACCTTCTTTGTACCACTTTGAAAATTCCTAGCTGGATTTACATACTGCTAATCTGCTATGTGTCAGTCCCAATGTCCTGTATCCAATCTGATGAAACTAGAATTATATTTCTCATTCAAATTACTGTAACTTTTCCAACTCCCACCTAATTCAGCTCCCTCATCCTCATAACCACCATGGACATTGGGTTGGCAAATAAAAAGGGAAAGTTGCAAGAGGTTGCAAGCCTAATTATCTTATTCTAAAACCTAATCATAAAGTAGGTGGAGAAAAAGTCAAACAGGAGTGTCGAATAACAGAAGATGGCCTCTTCTTGGAGGAGGACGTCTGGGATGGGGGATCTGTGACAGTAGGGATAGTATTTGTCTGCATATCACAGAACCCAACAAGAATGACCTAAGCAAATAAAGGGTAGGATTTTTGTTATAATATAACCAGATGCCAGGCTTCTGTTTTCCTACTCTGCTGTTATCTTTGCCAGATTACTGGCATATATTTGGGTTTCAAGCCATATTCCAGACAGCAAGAAGGCAAAGGGCAGAGAATAAATGGAAGAAGCTAGCCAAGTCTATCTCCTTTGAAAAAGTTTTCCCAAAATTCACACACTTCAGCCTCCATTTAAATCTCCTTGGCCAAGTGTGGGTCACATGGCCTTCCCTAGCTGCAAGAGAGTCAGAGCAGGCCAGCATATTAACTCAGCACATACCATCTCCAGACAAAGCAAGGTTTTCATAGCAAGGAAAAGGGATAGTATGCACATTGAGTTAGCAACCACCAGTGTTTGCCACATTATCCTAAAGTTTTCCAATTCAACAAAAAATAGAAGAGGAGAGAAAGGGCAGGTGGAACAGATTACAAAACACCAGGGAATATAGTCAATTGAATAAAGCTGAGCCCAATGTTGTTTAAGTATTTCCCTTTTATGCTACTTAACATAGATAATCCATGGGCCTGAATCTCATGGGAGAGCAGGAATTAGGCTTGGAGAAGGCAGGGAGGAAACAAAATAGTCCCAGGTAAGGCACAGGTGTGACACATCAAGAATTACAATCCATTTCCCGTTTTCAGAGAATAGATTGCAAAATAAGGAATATCAAGAAGGTAAATGGGGCTAGATCATGGGAGGCTTGTATTTATCTGGTATAAGATGAAAAGACACTGAAGTGTCTTAAACGGGGAGAGATAGGTCAGACTTAAATTTTGGAAAAGTCACCTTTAGTGACTGTATAGGATGGAATCAAGAAGATAAAGCTGAAGGGGAAGAAACAAGTTAAGAGGTGACTATTAATATAGATGGAAGATGCTCAGGGCCTGATTTTGGGGGGATAAAGAGGAGTGGACAAATGTGAAGAATTACTTCTTTGCATATAAGGGAGGGCTTCTTGGAGGAAGCAGCCTTTTATAACTGCAAATAAACTCTTTTATGCCTAAAGCATCTATCTGTAGAGTCTGAGGCATCCTTACTTCACATATTTTGTAGAAACTTAAGGGATAAAAGTTATTCACTAATTATAAGCTCCTAAACAACTTATTCTACTATAAGTAAAATGATCTGGGAAAGTTTTTTAGCCAAAGGCTGAAAATTTGAGATAATCCTCAAAACCTAAAGGTAGGAGAGGCCTATATCAAGTTAATTTATAACCTCAAAATTAGTGGTTCTCCAACTCTGGTGAGTATCTGGGCAGCTGGGTAAAGCTACAGCTGCAGGGGCTCACTTTCGCACTACTGAATCAGAATACCAAGGGCGAGGCCTGGGGATGGGTATTTATAATAAATTCCACAGGATATGCTAATGTACACCAAATTTGGGTCATCAGCATTTGGGTCAATCAGGTGACAGAGCATGACTAGGACCCCAACAGCAAATGTATTGCCAAGAAAGAGGTCATGAGATCCAAGAATGTACAGTTAAGGGGCAAGAGACAAAAGGGCAGGTAGAAAGGCCATCATCACTCATGTAGAAGGGCAGAGCCATGGGACTTGACTGCACAGCCCGCTAGGACTTGAGCAGTGGTAGGTAGGGAAGTGGAAGGAGCAGAGGCAGGCCTGCGCTTGGGAAACTAACAGGGATCAGGCATGACCATTTTGGAGGGTGGGGGGTACCACATGCCAATGGACAAAATCATAATAGCCAAAGTGATACGACAAACTTGGGCTCTCAACTTCCCAGAAAATTCCATAGCTATGCTTTTGTTGCTAAATCAAGAAAAAAAATCCTCTCTATATAAATTAGCCTACCTATATGCTAGACTATTTGTTGGTAAAAAGAGAATTTAGAGATTACATTAGTCAATAAATAGAATTTCATCTCCCACCCCTTAGAACAGACCAAAGGAATATCTGAACAGTTCTGATGAGGAAACTATGAGAGTGGGTATGATTCCATGTTATCAAACAGGTCCCCAGCATGACAGACAGACCCCTGACACTTTTGCTCCTTAGAGATCACTGAGCAAAGGCCTATTGGCTTAGGGACTGTTCCCCACAGCATCTGTTACATCAGCCATTAATTTTATGAACATCCAACAGACAAGAAGTTCCATGAAAAGGAGTAGATGAAAGGAGAAAGTAGATAATCATGTTTGCTAAGCTTTTCCAACAATATTTCAATTTTCTCTGGGAAAAATAAAAGTGCTGATTTTGCACAACTGGCTTCAGATCACCAGGGGAGCCAGCGGCCACCACATGCATCTTGCTCTCTTCTGAGGCAGTGTGCATAACTGGCAAAGACTTCTGTATTTAGATCTTTCTTCCAGTATCCTTTTGAGTCAGAACCAGCAGAGTGCGTTTGTGTTCATATGTTTAGCTGAACTCTTCTGCTCTTGGTCAAAATCATAAATGATCAGTAAGGCTCAAAGAGATAGTGAGTAAATGTGTGGTAAAGGTGTCATCACAGCCATCCCATGCCTGGAGCCCAGAGTGGCTTCTGAGTCCTTCCTAAGGGAGCAGCATCAGGTTGCCAGCAGCGACTTTTTATGACCAGAGGTGATGTGCCCGATGAACCTGCCTACACCCAGCTCTAAGCTCTCTCCCCTCATTTCTTGGGCACAGGTTCTACGAGCACAGGCGAAGTTCTGTGGTGCTGAACTTACCTGGACTTGAGGTGTTCCCTGGGGACCTTCTGGTGTCAGATGGAGCTGCGGATTACCTGTGCCACCCACTTCTGCTGCTGAATTCAGGTCGTGTTCCTTCAGCATACTTGCATGACATGCCCGCTATGGGATGGATATTGTCACAAACAGGGGGCATTTTCAAAATGTTTAATAACTAGTAGAACATGTGCACTGACCAGCTAGAACTGAGGGCTAGCCAGTTACAACAGGCACCGGCTGTGAATTGCTGGAAGCAGGTGAATACCAGTCTTGGTATTGGGCATTCGGTTTACAGAGATGAGTAAGACATGGCTCTTCCCTCCAACTATACTCTGGTCAAATAACTTATCCCAGCTCCAGGCCCCAGCACAGGTGCACCATTTCGGATCACAGTGCCCTCTCCAGGCATGGGGGCAGCTTCCCTACCACTGCTGTAACATCTCTCCCCACTCCTGGTCTTCCATCTCACACTGGTACCTTCCAACCAGGGAGGTACCATGTGGTGGGAGAGCTGCCCGCGGCAGATTAGTGATAGAGAGAGGCAGCCTTAGGGGTGAATCTTCTGCATCTTCACCTCACTTGCAAAAGCAGAACAACTGCAGCATTCAGGGTACTTTCCTCATGATTCTGAGGGTAGGTAAAGTAAAGCCTTTTAGAGCTGAAAGGAGATTTAAAGATTATCCATGTTGGTAGTTTTTAAACTGGTTTTGTTCTTAGCAGAGCCTTTTTTCCAAAAGAATCCTTACTTGGAAGTCCAATGTATAGAACAGGTCCAGGTGAAGTTGCCATGCTTGCAGCTGGGGTGAGCCCCAAAGACACACCTCAAGGCATCCCCAGGAGCCTTGGACACTTGACAAAACAGTTTGAAAACCACCAACTCATTCACAGGTGTGCAAAGGGAGACCCAGAAAGGAGAAGTGGCCTCATCCTGGTGCCTGCTGGTTTGTGCAAAGGAAGGGCATCTAGGCGTCTACCTGCTAGGCTGGTGTCCTCTCTACCAGCCTGCGTCAGTCACCGTTGTATGGGCAGCCGCAGTCTTCTGTATGTGGAGCCCAGAAGCCACCAGGGAATAGATCATGATGAACATTTTTATAGCTCTTCATTCTTTATGGATCCTTTCCACATCTACTGTTTTGTATGATACAACAATTCAAATGAGCAAGCCAAAAGGGGTTAAATGATCTGCTCGAAGACATGCACCTAGAAATCTGAGCTAGCTCTAAACATAATGTTACCTTAACAGAGGTTTCTGAATACATGTTGCATGAGGCTTTGCAAATGCTTTAAACCTGTTAACAACCAGAGCCGCGGTTCCCAAAAGCTGGTCCCAGACCAGCAACTTCAGCATCACCTGAGAAGTTATCAGAAATGCAGATTCCAGGCATCCACTCCAGACCTTCTGGATCAGAAACTCTAGAGATGGTGTCCAGCAGTCTGGTTTTTTTTAACAAGTCCTGCAGGTGATTCTGATGCCAGCTAAAGTTTGAGAACCACCAGGCTAAGGAACGAGGTCATCGTTGCTGTATGACACTTCTATGTCACATCATTTGTTTTGTTAAGTTGTGTGCCTAGCATCACGGTAGATACCAAAAAATAGAAGATAAGCAACACCCTCCACCTCACCACTCAATGCCCTTTTCTCAAGGAATTTAGATTAGAGGTCTCATGTCCCAAAATCATGGTCTAAAGCAGTGCTTCTCAGGCTTTGGTGCGTGTATGAGTCACCTGCAGTTATTGTTGAAATAGATTCTGATTCAGCAAAATGTAATATTTAAGGGAGATAATAAAAAGCTGTGGATTCAATGAAGATTCATTTAAATCTTCTTCTGAATATTTAAAAAGCTTTCCCAATGCTCCAAAACTCCCCAAAGTTAGAAAAGCGGAGGAGAGAAATTGATCAAGGACCAAAAACCCCAATTATTGCAGTTCAAATTGGACATAAGTATTAACCATTAGGCATTTGAAAGCTAAGGGTGGTAAAGCGGATTTGTCTCTAAGGGAGATTCTACCTACTCACCCCTGTATAGAGATTAATAAGGTGGTCAGATGAGCAATCAGCAATCAGAGTAATCAGTTGGGCAGTTATCTTCCAAGGTTACGGTGGGAACAGTGACTCAAGCACATCCTTTGCAATAAATGCTGCTCAGGTCTGACTGCTTCCCTCTGAGACAGTATTATGCACGCTCTCCTGAAGAATCTGATAGAAAGAAAACTAGACCTATAAGACATCCATTTGTATACTGAGTGGTCAGAACATCCCACCTAAACCTAACAGACTATTCCTAGCTTTTTCTGGGTTGCATTACAAATTAATGCAAACAGCATAAAAATCAGCTGACCAAAACCTGATCTAATCTCTACTTCCTGGTCATCAAAAGAATGTGGGATGAATAATGACTTCCTTCTCAACTCAAAACAACTCCTGGAGACTATTGAGGCGGTGACCAATAGCAACCAGCCCTAAAATAAAGATTGGTGACATGTGTTGGCATTTCCTATTTAAGGAGTCTTCATTTAACCACACCTGGGGATTGTTGGGTTGATGTAATCTGCAAGTTGCAAGCTTGGGCAGGCTATTGAAGTTGCATGTGACGGGATGGTTTCATGGTAAGATGGTGTACAAACAAATGGCCCATCCTTTCAGCCCCAAAGTGCTATGATTTTCTGTCTTAAATGAATTACTCAACATCTTTATTCAGTTTATAGATTTCTCCCCAAGCGATGGGAGAAAGGAGGTTAACAATACAATAGAAAAGAAATAGGTCAATACCACCTTAAGGCAAGAACGGAACATCAACTTTGAGGTTGCAACTGCTTCATTCACTCATCTGCAAAGATATAAATATTCATACTGTGCATTCTCAAGAGAAGGAGAATTAAAGCAGGATGAATCTTGTTTGGCTCATTTTCAAAAAGCAGGTTCTGTAAAGCACTGCAATCATCTGTCACTAGTCACTCGAAGTACCTGTGATAATATATTTTCTTTAATTTCACCCTCCAGAATCCAAAAAGCCAAGATGGCCTTTCTCCAAGAGAGGAGTGGTGAGTGTCTCACATTGTCATTTTTGTCTTAATTAAGCCTCCTGTAACTAAGAAAGTAAGAAATGGCTGAAGAGCCTTTTCATTCTGCTTTGTCTTTGCATAAAGGCAGATGGCACGTGAAATGTAAATGATGTCATCACATCCGTAGTATTGGCTACAGAACATGCCAAATGGTGCCATTTTGTGCAGCAAAACAGTGCTAATTGCCAGTGGTTAATGAGCTCTGCAAAAAAAAGAAAACACAAAGCAATCCTAATATAGTGATGCTCTACAACACTAAATTTATAACAGGATACAGCTTAGGAAACAGCTCAGTCGATGAAGCAAACTTGCACACATGTATGCCCTCGTTCACAGTCAGTGCCATGCATCTTGGGAGCATTGAAAAATGAATGAGATATTACAGAAACAGATTCCACAAATACACTGCTATTTCTGGGAAAGCCAGTCAGATTAGGCCTATTGAGTTTTTAAATTCATTCTTGGTTCCGTCAATTATTGAACAGTTATAAATCTAAATCTGTAGCCCGAGTCTTGACTGCCTCAGACAAGGGTGGCCACAGGCAAGCCATCCTTTCTGGCATGCAGTGGGTGGAGGGAGGGAGTGTTCATGATCACAGCCTGACGACTCCTGTTTTCTGGAGGAAGGGAAGGGACTGATTTTGTGTTCTCCCAGCAGTACCATTTGTAAACACATACACACCACGGCCAGCAGCAACAGCAGGGCCTTATGGCAGGTTACTGTGCCTCGTTCTGTTACAAATCTGATCACATGGCCTCTCCAATCAGTTGGGCATCCGTTGCTGACATCTGCAATGGTTCTATGGATACACACACCTTGATGTCTTTTAAGTCCGGTAGCTAAATAAAAAGCCCCCTGAGGTTCCAGTCCTAGCTGCTTCACGCACTGCCCATGACCTTGGCCAAATGAATTTACCTCCCTCAGCTCAGGTCTCTCCCTATTCAAAGTGGAAGTTCACAGTGCCAGCCACACAGGGTGGTTGTGATGAGTACATCGTAATGCATGTGGAGCTCACCCCAGAGCCCGGCACTTGTAGACAACCTATCTTGGCCATGTTATTAGTAGCCGTATTTTTAATTAGGGTTTAGAAAACCACTTGTTCTCAATAGCCAAGCATATGATTGACTTTCACTTTTTTTTTTTCAAAAATACAACATTTAAATGGAACACAGTCTAAATATGAAGAGCTGCAAATTGCAAATCGTTAGTAAAACTGCGACACCATCGTCACCAGGGCCGTTTCTCACCAGTGATTCAGGGACATGCTGTGACTGTTTTCCTGGCAGGTGTGAGACAAGGTTTATAGTGCAACCTCTCCTGAGTTCCCTCCTCATATAAACAGAGGCGGAGCCAGTCATCAGTCAGATCTGAGGTCCCAGGAGAAGAGGCATGTTCCCCCAGCCCTCCTGAGGTCTCCTCCAGGACAGGGAAGCCATCAGGGCTGCCTGGGAGATGGAATGTGCTTTCAGAAGGGACAGATTTGGTTAAGGAAGTGACACTCCTACAAGTTGTTGGGATCAATCCATTCTTTTCTCCATCAAGAAGCAACTTTCTCCACACGTGTGTGTTGGGTGACTGTGCCCAGTGCTGGGCCAGATATCTAAGACACCAAAATGCCCATTTTCAGCTCACAATTGAAAAGATTGGACTGAAAAGTAATTGGGGGGAAATGTGCTCAATGGTTTGTACTATGTTGGGGGGTTAGCTGTGCTCCTTTACCTAAAGGAAAAATAATTAGTGGACTGACAGAACGTTCTCAGCAAACGTTCTCAGCAATGAAGAGAAATTAATATCCGGGAGCTTCACTTTCACAAGGACACGATACCTGATACCTTAAGATCAATATGTCTCCTTCCTTCCTTTAACCTCTTAGCCTTATTCAGGAGGTAATTCCCGTCTTTATAAATGATGATCCACATCCACGTAACAAGCACACTTCTAAGTCGTACTGGATTTTCCCAGTCTATTACAGATTTTTACTTTTCTTAACCTTTTTCTTTTCTTTTCTCCTTCCTTTTTTCCTATCAATACAATATTTGTAATGAAAGCTAACAGATATATAATGTTTACCACATTGCCAAGCACTGTTTCTCTTTACCTGTGTTCTTGTTTATCGATGTCATAGTTTATGTATATGAACTCATAAGTTTTCAGAACAATCCAAAAAGCTAGGTAACCCCCATTTTGCAAATGGAAAAACAGGTTCAGAGAGGTTGAATAGTTTGCCCAAGGTCACACAGCTCATGAGCAGAGAGCAAGGATTTGTCTCCAGCAGTCCCAGGCAGTCTGGCTCTGAGTCTGTTCTGGCTCCAGCTTGGTCCTGCTCCACCAATCGTAGGGATCCTCATAACCAGAGCTGGACACTCCTCCCTCCGTCTCTCATTGGAGCGCTCAAAGAAAGATCGTGTCTGTTCTCACTGGTTCAACTCCATCTCTTTGTCAACGACTCCAAAATGTATATATTCAATCTTTTTTTTTTTTTTAAGTCAGAGTCTCACTCTGTTGCCTGGGCTAGAGTGCCGTGGTGTCAGCCTAGCTCACAGCAATCTCAACTCCTGGACTCAAGCGATCCTCCTGCCTCAGCCTCCTGAGTAGCTGGGACTACAGGCATGCACCACCACACCTGGCTAATTTTTTTTATTTTTAGTTGCCTGACTAATTTCTTTCTATTTTTAGTAGAGACGGGGTCTTGCTCTTGCTGAGGCTGGTCTCAAACTCCTGACCTCAAGCCATCCTCCCACCTTGGCCTCCCAGAGTGCTGGAATTACAGGAGTGAGCCACCGCACCCGGCCTATGTATTCAATCTTAACCTTCAACTGGGCTCCATTTCCATGTCACCAGTGCCTATTGCACACCTCCCTTCCACCTACCTCTTCGTGACTAAGTTTGAGACTCCGCAATTAACCTTGTATCCTCTCAAATACCCTTCAAATGCTTCTCATGGCCTCTCCTAACCAACACCACCACAGTGGAAGCAACAGCGCACTGAATGGACCTATTAACTCTCAAGAGTTAATGTGACCACTGAGACAACTGTCTCCTCCCTTCTCACTGGAATCCCCACCGAGCTATGTGGCCAAGACGTTGAGCAAACCCATGGAAAGTCACAGTGAATGCCTGTCAAAGTACGGGGCTGGCACCCACTTTCCCACAACTCCAATGCTGCTTCCATTGTCTCAGCTTCTTTCTTTCCCAACTGGCTGCTGATTTTTTTTTATTTCCACAACATGCAGTCGCTATGGTTTCAGACATCAACAAAAGGCATATGTCCCAATTGCTGTAGGAGGTCCCCAGCTGGCTCCAAGATTCCTTTGCTGCTGCAAAGGCTAATGAGTCTACAAAAGATTTCTTCTTTCAGTGCCATAACCCTACTAGAGAAACCAGCCACAGCCCGGTAGCACACTCTGAAAATATTACAGGATCTCCTTTCATATACCTAGGGAACCACTGACCCACATCAGCAGACAACCTGTGCCTCCTCTTGTTCATTAATATAATGTTGATTAACTTTCACCAAACTTTAGATCCATGCCAATATCATGCACCCTGAGGCAATAGAAGAAGTCAAAAATTATTTGTGATAAACATTCATTTGAAATGCTGCCAAGTTGACTTTAAAAAGCCTTATACACTGTTATTTGATAGCTTCTTCCTGGTGTGGTTGGTAAAATGAACTCTTTAAGTGGGCAATTCATGATGTTGCAATAGAATACCAAAGGAATCAAAAAAAATGCTCACAATATATTATGTTTAAAAAGCACATTCCAAAAGATACATAAATATGACACCATTTAAAAATTAATTGTGAATATGATCAGAATAATGCTTTCAGTGGGTCTCTGAGGGCGGAGATTATGAGTAGCTTTAATTTTCACGGTATTTTTCTTTGTTTCTCAAATTTTCTGCCATAATCATATATTACCTTTGCAGTCAGATTTTTAAAACAAATATTAGTAAGAATAGAGGTTATAACAAAAGTAAATAGGTTATGCCATTCCATGGAAACTAAAGTTTCTAGCATATTCTGGTATTTTTTAGCATAGAATTAATTGTTCTGGGAAAGTTTCTTTAACACTCTGGGCTTTATTTAGTCATCTGCTAAATAAGGGGTTGAACTGATACATCTGACGCACCTTCTGATGCTAAAGCCCTGTGGTCCAGAGTTTAGAAAAGTTAAATCTGTGAAGGATGCCATGTCACCCCACCAGGTGGGCACAAGACTCAAAATCCACCTATATAACCGTTCTGTGCCTTGGATATGTTTTCATTAGTAACGTGAGAGGTTTGGATCAGATAGTCTCATGAGCCTCTGTCCTCCAGGTCTGATATCCCGTGGTTCTTGGCTCAGACTAGGGCTCAGAATGACTTTGGAATTGTCAGTGGCTTAAAGACAGAATGTGCAGTTTGTTCTCATGAACGGCAGAGAGTGAACGAAAGATGCTGAAGCTACTGAAGTTGTGCTGTTAAAGAATTCATGTTTGAAAATCCTGTTTCTAACAATCTTTAAGCAGGGCAAAGACAAACACAAGCACGTATCCGATCTGGAAAACTGCCTCTCCTCTGTGAAGATTACCAACTTCAGGGGCTATGAGTTCTACAGCTTTAAGGTATGTCACAAATTGTTTACTGTGAGGCATGGCTTTTCCTTTTCTTTCTTTTTTTTTTTTTTTTGGTCATCATTTTAAGTTGTCAGATTATTGCCTTGTTTATAATATTAATAACATCAAGGCCCAGGGCTGGAAAGGGCCTGCTCTGCTCCAACACACTACAACCTGGGGAAAGTCATTTTATTTTAAATAAGGTAATGACTATGAATGTGAGAGCACTTTGTAGGTCAGGAAGCCCTATACAAATGTTACGGATAATTACTTATACTATTCACCTCTCTGGGCCTCGATGTCCTCATTTGAAAAGTAAGTTGTTTTTGATAAGACAATTTCTAAAGGTCTCTTTGAACTCTGAAACTTTTACTTTACTCTTGAGTAATTTCAACAAGTTTTGCCAATAAAACCCAGAATCAGACTTCCCAGTCCTGAGTTTAGGGTTCTTTGAGATTTTTTTGCAATAAACTGAAAAGGACTCATGAAATTCATGAACATAATTCAAAACATCGGTTTGAATTTCTTTTCATTTTAAAGTAAAAATACTGTACATTGTGCACCCCATGCTTTGCATAGGGAGGAACTGGCATCCCGGGGTCCCACGGAGGGAAGCTGGGGTGTGGGTAGCTTGCGGAGCCACTCTGCCAAGAGAGCTACCCCGGCCTGAAGTGGGAAATCATGATTTCGGAGATTGCCTGTTCCTATTGTACTGCAGGCCAAAGTTAATAGCGAACAGGTCAACCCACTGAGGTGGAAATGTTCTGTTCTCTCTTTTCTCCTCATGTACAGGACAAGACCTGGAATGAAGTCATGGAAACACATCAAAAACTTCCTACTGATCAATTAGACTTGAGAAAGCAGCAAGAGGCAGTGTGGGAACTTTTCACGAGTGAATGCACTTATTTCTTGGACCATTTATTAGTTCTTAAGATGGTAATGCCAGGTTTAATTTTTGTAGTAGATGGAAAATATTAATTTGGTTCTTTGGGGACCAGTTTTTCTCTTTCATACTTAAAAAAAAGGAAGAAGTTTTAGGGTTTTTTTCTCCTCTTTTAGGAGACCTTGAAGAAAATTTTATTTATTGTTTATCTACTACTTCGTTGTCTCTTCATTCTTTCCTTAAACATTAGATGAGATTTACTAAGTAAATTAGTCCAGCTTCCATCTGATGTCTGAATCTCTTCTGCCTGATCTCACCAATTCACACTCTCCAGAGTCAGGGAGCTCACACCACCCTCTGGGCAGCCCATTCCATCCTTGGTCGTCTTTCTCTCGCAGAGCTCTTGCTCCCTCATGAACAGCACCAGGTGAATGCTTTTTAACAGCTGCAGGGCCATGGTCACAGACTTCTAGGCCTACCATCCACATGTTGGATGTCAGTGCTGTTGGATTACATGGTATATTCATGATGTCGTCTATGTAAATGGCACCCTTGAGGTTGTACAGTGCTGCGGCCCTGATCTGGTGAGGCTGAGAGCAGAGGATTTGTTATAGAAGAACCACAGGGCAGGGGAGGGAACTATAGGGCAGCTTCCTTGCAAGACTATAGGGGAGTGTGGACCACACGGCTCCCAAGGTCAACTCTGCCCATAGCACTTTTGAATCCTGATTACTACACAACTAAAAAGCACTGCGTTGGCAGACCTGAGTTCAAGCCTTGGATCTGCCTGACTTTCCTTGTGACCTTAGAAAAGTCTAGTCCCCCATATCCTAAATCAGGGGCTGGAGAAACATTTTTGTGTTGGTCCAGATAGTAAATATTTTAGGCTTTACAGGCCACATGGTCTTTGTTGTAACTACTCAAATCTGCCGTTGCAGTGCAAAAGCAGCCAGAGACAATATATAAAGGAATGTGCCTGACTGTGTCACCAAAAAGCATCATTTAAAAAGCAGATGGCAGGCCAGATTTAGCTCACAGGCTATAGTTTGATAATCTCTGTTCTAAACTATAAAAGGGGAATGACAATACCATCTTTGGCTCTCTCAGCAGACCATTGTAATGATCAAAGTCGTTTTCTTTGAAATCTATCAAGTGCTAGGCAAATGTCAGTTATTTTCTGTAAGTAATATATACTGTCAGTAACAGCACTAAGTCCTTTCCTTAGCAAAATTTAAACCATAAAGACATGCTATGAGAAAATTGAAATTTTGAGACTATATCAATTAGGATGCTTACAAGAGCAAATTAGAGAAAACTAGCTGAAATAATATAGGATTTTATTAGCCCACATGACTGTAAAGCCCAGAGGTGGGAAAGAATTCAAGATTGTTTTGATCAAGGGCTCAAAACCAAGGACAAAATTTCTTTCTGTCTCTCATCCCTGTGATCCATGGAATTAGCTTCATCCTAAGGCTGATTTCTCTTGTCATCACAAAATGGCTGTTGTCCTTGAGCTCATAGAGAGAGAGGGAGAGAGGGAGAGAGGGAGACAGAGATCTTCCCAGCATTCATAGCAAGTCTCGCCATTCAATCTGATCGGATTGGCTTAGATCACATGCCCACCCTGAGCCAAATACTCTAGCTAGGTAAGGAAGGAATGTGCTAATTGGCTGAAAGTAGTCAAGGTCCAGCCCTGGGCATGAGATCAGCTTGCCATGTAACACGTGAGAGGCACAGAGAAGAGTAGACACTGACATGAACACCAGGCTGTTTTTAGGGAAGGGGAGCGTTGTAGCCGAATGGTAACCAATCAAATGTTCACTGCAGAGCACTAACTCCTGAGCTCTACCACCTCCTTGTCCCAATGAACAGAGTGGAACTTTCTATGCCCCTATAAAACTGCCCTCATTTTTCAAATTAGCATTTTCTATTTAAGGTCAATGTGAGTTTATTTTTAAATGCCCCAGTGTATTGAAAATGCGTATGTACCTCTCTTTACACAATCCATATGAGTTTCCCAAAGTTTCTTGTGAATCGAAAATATGTAACTCAGAGTAAAATAAATACACCGGAGGACTCAGTATTTTTTTTTTTTTTTTTTTTGAGACAGAGTCTCACTTTGTTGCCCTGACTAGAGTGAGTGCCGTGGCGTCATCCTAGCTCACAGCAACCTCAGATTCCTGGGCTCAAGCAATCCTACTGCCTCAGCCTCCCGAGTAGCTGGGACTACAGGCATGCGCCACCACGCCCGGCTAATTTTTTCTATATATTTTTAGTTTTCCAGATAATTTCTTTCTATTTTTTTAGTAGAGACGGAGTCTTGCTCTTGCTCAGGCTAGTCTTGAACTCCTGAGCTCAAACAATCTGCCCGCCTCGGCCTCCCAGAGTGCTGAGATTACAGGCGTGAGCCGGCCCTCAGTATTTTTTTAAATGGTAATAATTTCTGTAAAGCAAAGAACCTTACAGCAAAAAGAAGATTTCTTCCAAATTGTCCCAATTGGTCTGCAGGAATGAGTTCTGTTTCTTAAAATTATCTGTTTTAAATGCTTGGCTATTGACAGATTTCCAGACAACCAATGCTATACCGGATTTAAAAAGCTCTAAGTCAGTGGTTCTCAACATGTGGTCTCTAGACCAGCTGTATCAGAATTGTGGGGCCCAGCAGGTCTGGTTTAACAAGGCCCACAGGTGATTCTGAGGCAAGTTCAGGAACCACTCACCACACTAATTAAATAATACAGGAATGGGAACTGGGGAAGGTTAGCTATTTAAAACCCTGTCTTTTAACCCCCAAAATTCTTGAAATAATTGATCCCTTTGACTGCTTCCCATCTTTTATATACAAAGTATTTCCATTTCAATCAATTGATCTCTCTTCAGTTTATAGGATGAAGGGCAGGCTATCTGTAGGCAAGGATTGCAGTTCTTCTTTCTTGACTTGCTGTGTAGTTCCCCTGTTGTGTGAAAGCATCAAATCAAGTAAGAGTTACATAAAGACTCCCTTAATGTTTGCATTAATATTTGATGCCTTTATCCAAATCAAAACATTTTACCAGTTATCAGATATAAACTCATTAATTCTCTCTTTTTAATTTTCTGAAAGTAAAGTACATTTGGGTCTTTTGCAGAGGAAGGAATACATGAGAACACAGCATGAACATTGTTTTGCTCTCAAGTTAGTACTCTTGGCAAGAAGAGAACCTTTGGGATTTGTTTGGCGCCATGTAGCAGAGAAAGCCCATTTGGACAGATAGTCTTCAACAGGAATGTTGTTAGGACTCAGAGAAGCAATAGCAACTTTATACTGAAGAGTACTTTTCCAACAAGTTTTATGCTTAAATATCATCATTTGTATAGAATAAATTTTTAAACTTTGAGAATACTGATTTCTACATTGCTTTGTTAAGTCATAATCAGGAAGTTTATGTTTAATGTTCTTACAAAGGGAATGTTTCAAAATTTAAAAATATAAATTAATATGCATTTATTTTTTTAAAGATTTTTATGAATACACTTAAATATCTTCAAACTCGTGAATTTCTCCTGGATGTGGATTTATGGAGACTCTTTTCAAACCTGGAGGAGTTAGCTCAGGTGAGCTATTTTAAACTTTACTAGAGGACCATGAAAATTCATGCTTTATCTATTCTTATGGCTTATGTTCCATATGGGAATATGGCATATGGTTTATTCCATATTCCATCCCCAGGCAGGACTTCAGGTTAATAAGAAAGAAGTCTAAACATCCATTGACATCTTTGAAATAAATTGTAGATATTAGTAAAGAAAACCTTCACTTTTCATTTTTCTATGGCCATTTAAAAATGTAGACACATTCCTAAGATCTCCATCATCTTCATAAATGTTTATTTTCAAATGAATGTGCTTTTCTCATATATATTATAAATAAATAATATCTTTCCTTGCAAACAGAAGAGAAGAGAGATAGCAACAAGAATTTATTTAAGAGAAACTTATAAGAAAATATATACTGGAGAGTGGAGGAAAATAAATCTTTGAATTTTGCTAGGAGATAAATTTGAAAAAGGAAACATCTGCAAGAATGATATTTGAAGTTTGTCAAATGTTTATTCCTTACCCCTGGGTGTGTGCTTTCTTGTTTTCTTTCTCTCTGGCCCTAGACAAGCCTTGGTTTTGTGAACAGTCTTTTTAGCCTCATCAAGGACTATGTAGATGCTTCTGAGACTTCACCATCGATGGATTTCATCTCCGTGCTCACAAAGGTAAAATCCTTCCAGGAGATCTCGACTTCATGAAATACATTTGCCCACCTCCCAGGACAGTTGTTCATATCTACTTGATTTTTCTTGTTCCTGGGAAAGTTCTACCACCACCCACCCACAAAGGAACCATCCCTGCCTCCACCAATCAAGGATTTCAAAAATAACTTGCAGCTTCTGTTTTCCCATTGTCACGTCTCATGTGTGGGTTTTATTAATACAAAAATCTGCATGCATGGAAAAGCCATTTCCAAGTCTGTTTTTTAAATGACTTCAATTTAAAGCAACATTCATGGCAATAGTTTAGTGTATGCTAATTACATGGTTCAGTTGTTCTTCTAACGAAAGTGCCAGACTCTCAGAAAGAAACAAAATAAACCTTAAAATCCATCACCACCCTTAATAATATTTCTGTGTGTGCAATGAGGAGAAAAGAGGAAAACCTGTAGCCCTAATTTGATAGATGTTTTTTATTTCTTGAGTAGATATTTCAACCTCTTCCTCACTTTTTTTAGTTTTGAGTTTTTTTAATCCAGTCTCATTACTGGATCTAGTCTCATTTACCAAGATTTGAATTCTTACACTCCATTTAAAAAAAAAAAAAAAACATAGATTGAGATTTGTTGACAACTTACTAAGTGTTAGGTGGGGCTGATGCCCTGTATTCAATAATGTGCAAAATTTAGAAAAGCCTCCAGCCCCCTGCTCTTAAGGAATTTTCAGTCTTGTGGGGAAGAAATTAGTCCAGTAATGGCACTGATGATTATACAAACAAATTGAGATAAATGCTGGAAAAATAAATGGACGCAGGTACATGTCCAACAAAGAAAACCTAAGTTGGGGTAGATAGCGGGGTAGTTACAGGAAGGAAACACTCTCTGGAGAAATGATGCTTGAGAAGATGTATAAAAGAAGAATTTTAACAAGTAAAAAATAAGCAGGAAGATCCTTTAGTGAACATTGAAAATAGATTTAAATAAAGAAAAGTTTCAAAAAATAGGAAAGAATGTAAAGTTTTGGGACTTAGCTAAAATCTCAGGATCTCTCAATTCCTTGAGTCAGAAAATTTTAAAATTTAGTTTTTAGTAAACAGCCTAGAGAAATATCAGCTTCTCATCAAAACTCGTAAGCACATTTAAAGATTACTAAAGAATGGGATGTTATTAGACTCAATAAGAGTCTATAATAAACTCACATAGGAATGTTCCATACTATGCTACCAATGTGCAAAGATGGGTCATAAGGCCTTTTCCTAAATTTAGAAGGTCTACATCAGTCAGGTTAGAGTCCGTTGTACCACAGTAACAAACAATCCCAAATCTCAGTGGCATGGCTCCTTTCTCACTTAGGCTCTGCTTCCACTTTCTCCTTGTCCTGACTCTGGGGCCCATGATGATAGAGCAGACACCACCTGGGACATTACCAGTTGCCATGGCAAAGACATAAAAGACTGTGGCAAAGCACTCACTGGCTCTTCAAGTTTCTGCCTGAAGCAACAGATGGCATGTCTGTTTGCATTTCCTCAGCACATGGCCAAGCTTACCTTCAATGCAGCAGGTACATACAGCCTCCCCAGGAACAGTTAGGGTTAGGGTTTGATGAACAGTAAGCTGTCTACCGCAATGTCTCACAAGAAGCTCACCAGCTAGGAGGTGGGGACATCTTGTTATTCACATGTGAGCCATCTGAGGAAGTCACTCAGAAGGAAACTGAGGCTTGCAGAGGTTAGATAATTTGCCTGAGATCATACAGCCAATGGGTGGTAGAACTAAATTTCTAAGCCTATTAATGACTCTTAATCTTGGCCTTTTAACAATCGCCTCCTAGTTATGACATTTCTCAAGCATCTCAGTGCCTCATGAGAAAACCCTTCCTTTACCTCCAAGTCTTCTTCTCTGCCCAGCTATCAACATTCCCCGCTAAAAGAAACCCATGTCATCTTTCAAATTATTTCTTGCAGAAGCCAAAACTTGACATTGCTCTCCATAATATTTTGTCTCCTGAATTCCTGTAATCAAATATTTTTCTAGGTTTTCACGATCTCTGGCTTTATTACCAGCACTTTCCTATATGGCTTTTCAGGCTGGGTCTGCTTTTTCTACTCACTATAGCCATAACACTGCCAGCAATGTGTCTTCCTCCTCTGATGCCACCACATTGGGGTAGCATTGGAAATTCCCTAATGGAGCCCATGAGTTGTTATATATTAGTCAATAAATCCATCAATGGGCACATAGACTCAGCAATATGGCAGACACTATAGAGTCTTGAAGAGTATCTGAGTAATGAGTCAGAAGTATCACTAAAGAGCAAAGAATAACCACTGTTTCTGAGAGAGACATTTAACTGAGATGGCGGCATATGGTGTGGTATGCACGGTTTGTACCCATTATATGTTTGAAGATATGTATAAAAATTGACAATCTGCCTCATTCTAAAATGAATTCAAAGCGACTTACAAATGTGTAGTCATTATAGCAAGTTTAAGACATTAAATAAGAGTAATGAAGAAAATCTAGTAAGTGTGAGATTGGGTAAGACTACTAAACAAAATTCGTGCTACCAAATATAGTACATTCAGTAGAGGCATCCCAAATTTCTACACATTTAAAAGCCAGCAGAATTATATTTATGGATATTTTTGAGGAATATTGGATAAAAAGTTAATGTCATTACTTTAATCACTTAATACCAACAGAAGCTTAATATCAATTCACATGGTCACCGAAATCAAAGGCAATATTTGTTAGTAGGTGCCAGGTAGGGTATAGGGACCTTGAATAGAAGTAAAAGGGTGAATTAAGTTAAGACATACTAAAGAGAATTTTCTTTGAGTATAGAGGAGAAAAGACTATTTATTGAGGAATTAGCTGTTTATTATGAGAATATCATATCTTTTTAAAAGAATGCTTTTAAAAGGAACTATGCAATCATAGCTCCTCTACTTTTCCCTGTTCTAGTTAATGATAAAAGTGAAGAGAAAGAGAAAGTCAGCCAGGGCTCAGTGCATAATCCTTAACTTGAGTTCTTTCTGCTTTTCCCCTGCAGTATTTCCAAGGGAACCTCTGTCACAGCCACCAGACCTACTGCCTGAACTACTCAGCTGCTGTCTTTTATCTTGACAGCCTGAGGCAGAGAGACGACTTTGGGATTTATTTAAAAGTAAAGTACCATTTTCTTTTCTTTTATATTTTTCCTGACCTTTGGGTGTAACAGATACGGTGAATTATTATAGCCAAATTAAATGGGAAAGAAGAAATAAATGATCAACAATATGTTTCAACTAGAAATCTGCTTTCTTCATAAAGACATCATCCATTGCACACTTAGGAATTTTAAATGGTGCACATCTGGAAACATTTTATCATCTAATATCCCTCCAGAAATTTTGGCTGGGGCTTAAAAAATATTTTGCTAGTTCATTGTTTTGTTTGTGGTAGAAATTGGTACATTTTAAAGAGGAAACTAGAATAAGAACCTGAGCTTTGTGACTAGAAGTTTGGCTTTTGTAAGATTTAGTCCCAGCACAAAAACTTGGAGCACCATTACATGGTATGAAGGGCGCCCCCTAGATTAGATCATAGAGCTAGATCACAATGTAAATGTGTTCACTGGAGTTGTACAACATGGCAGCTCTGGGTCCCAAAGCATGAAAACATGGAATTTCTGCTCGGATCCTTCAGCATTTTCTAATAGACAAACCTGGAACGAATTTTCTTTGACTTCCCTAGCTCTATTGACTCTCTTTTGGCATTGCTTTAGTCTGAGGTGTACCTTTTCAGTACTGGGCCAGAGCCCTTTGGATGATCCATAGAAAATACCTTTCCAGAAAACCAGCTCTTCCCTGCAGCTGCAAGAAGCCCCCGCCAGAGCTGCACATCAGAGGAAGGGGAGGAAAGGCCACCACAGTTCCTAATGACTCAGTTGTGCAGCTGTGGGCTATTGCCATGGCCTTGATTCACGTGCCAGGAAGCCTGGGTGTGGCCTGGCTGAGAAAGAAGAATGATCTTAGAGAAAAGACTTGTATTTTTGTATTAATAGCTTCAGCCTGTCAGTGTTTTCCTTGCTACTTAAACTGAAAACTGAAAGCTCATTAGATTTCCAAGTGTACGAATAATCATATTGCAAACATTTCCCCTGGAAGCTGATGGATTAGACTCTTAATTAGGCCCCTGTCTTAGTCTGTTTTGCATTACTATACAGGAATACCTGAGACTGGGTAATTTATAAAGAAAAGAGGTTTATCTGACTCAAGTCTCTGCAGACTATATAAGAAGCATGGTGCCGGCATCTGCTTCTGGTGAGGGCCTCAGGAAGCTTCCACTCACGGTGGAAGGCGAAAGGAAGCCGATGTGTCACATGGCAAGAGAGGGAGAAAGAGAGAGAGGAGGAGGTGCCAGGTGCTTTCAACAGAATGGCACTAAGCTGTTCATGAGGGATCCACCCCACAACCCAAACACCTCTCACTAGGCCTCACCTCCAACATTGGAGATCGAATCTCAACATGAGATTTGGAGGGAACAAATATGCAAATTATATCAGACCCCAAACTGGGGAAAATCCAGGTGTATATCTGTCCCTTCCAATCTAGAGGGGAGATTAATTTAACAAGGTCCAGCCACCATTTTCAAGTAACTGTGGAAAAACTCATACCCATGTATTAACAGCCAAATTATTTTTAACAAAGGTAATAAGAACACATATTGAGGAAAGAATACTCTCTTCAATAAGTGGTGCTGGGAAAACTGGATACCTGTATTCAAAAGAATAAACTAGACCCCTGTCTCTCACTATATATAAAAATCAAGTCAAAATGGATTAAGGACTTAAACATAAGGCCCGAAACTGTAAGACTAGCAGGAGAAAAGATAGGATAAGCACTTCAGGACATTGGTCTAGGCAAAGATTTTAGAGCTAAGACTCCAAAGGCAAAGACAACAGAAACAAAAATAGACAAATGGGACCATATTAAACTAAAAGACCTCTGCACAGCAAAGAAAACAATCAACAGAGTGAAGAGATAACCTATAGAGTGGGAGAAAATATTAATAGTTGCAAACTATTCATTCAACAGGGTACTAATATCTAGAATACAAAGAACTCAAACAACAGCAAAAACAAACAAATAATTCCATTAAAAAGTAGGCAAAGGATCTGAAAAAACATTTCTCAAAAGAATACATACAAATGGCCAACAGGTATATGAAAAAAAAATGCTCAACATCACTAATCCTCAGGGAAATGCAAATCAAAGCCACAATAAGATATTATCTAGCCCCCCAAAGAGAATGGATATTATTTTTTTAAAAAACAAAAAAATAACAGCTGCTTTCAAGGATGAAGAAAAAAGGGAACTCTTATACATTGTTGGTGGCAATGTAAATTAGTACAGCCATTATGGAAAACAGTATGGAGTTTTCTGAGAAAAGTGAAAATACAACTACCATACGATCCAGCTATCCCACTATGGGGTATTTATCCCAAAGAAAGGACATCAGTATTTCAAAGAGATACCTGAAACCCATGTTTATTATAGCACAATTTACAATAGCTAAGATATAGAATCAACCTAAGTGTCCATCAGTGGATGAATGGATAAAGAAAATGTGGTATATATACGCAATGGAGTCATAAAAAAGAATAAAATCCTGTCATTGGCAGTAACATGGATGGAACTGGAGGTCATTAAGTTAAATGAAATAAGCCAGGCACAGTAAGACAAATATCACATATTCTCACTCATATCATGGAAGCTAAAAAAGTTGATCTCATGGAAGTAGAGACTAGAATGATGGTTACCGGAAACTGGGAAGGCAAGGTGGGAGGAGAGGTGAGAGAGGTTACCTAATGGGTACAAACATACAGTTAGGTAGGAGGAATAACTGCTAGTGTTCAATGGTACAGTAGGGTGACCATAGTTAACAATAATTTATTGTATATTTCAAAATAGCTAGAAGGTTAGATTTGAAATGTTCTCAATACAAAGAAATGATAAATGTTTGAGGTGATGGATATCTTACCATGATTTGATCATTACATGTTATATACATGTATTAAAATATCACATGTACCCCATAAATTTGTGCAATTATTATGTATTAATTATATATATATCATCCAAAGTTATTTCAGGAAAGGAAGTAGAGGATTCAGGGTTGTTATTATAATGCATAGTGCATATGGTGCACTTCCTCAAACATCTCTTTTAATTCTTAACACACACCTATGAAGTTGATTACATTGTTGCCATGTGTCCCTGAGGTTCAGAGAGGTTATATGACATTTGCAAGGTCACATAGTCAATACATGGCAAAGTAAGAACTGTATTAATCCCTTCGGGCAAAAGAATTCAATGCTCTTCACGCCAGGACTATTTCCAACTCCTCAGGGATATTTTCCGTTGCCAGGGAACTTCCAGCCTCGTGAAACAAAGGTGAGGAGTCAGGGAGAGACTTCAAAAGAGTCGAAAGTGAATCTGCCTTCCACAGCCCTATAACCCAGAACAAAAGCATTCTCACAGATAAGAAAGGTGACTGATTTTTGAGCCACTGCTCTGGGTGAGGCACTGTGCCACATGCCGGTCATCTGTGATCTCTTTGTCTCCACAATAACTCTGTGGAACTTGATATTATCCTAATATTTCAGAAGTTTAGGCAACTGACTAAAAGATATGGTTATTCTGGGGCAGAGGTAGGATTTGAATTCAGACCTGTCTGAATCCAACATTCATTCCCCCTTACTATGCTCTGTTATACACAACATTCTTGGAAAACTTAAATTCTGCGTCGTGTTACTGGTTGCCTAAAATGAACCCGTAAATGCACTAGGATGAATTTACTCTCCATACCACGTGAGACTGGGCGTTATGAATGTATGTACTATCCTGGGCCACTCCCATTAATGGGAGTCAAGTTCTTCCCACTATCTTAGAAACAGTTAAAATGATGCTGAGGAAGAGACTGGGAACTTTGTACGAGACCTCTTAGAGTGGCTCGATTATCAAACACTAAGAATTCTAGCTACCATGGGCTGAGTGTTTGAGATGTGCCAGGCATTGTTCTAAGCACTTGGCAAGGATTATCTCATTAAAACCTCTCACCAACGCAATGAGGTAGCTACTCTCATCATCTACATTTCTCAGATGAGGTTTAGAGAGGTTAAGTAAATTTCCCAACGTTTCAAGAATGCTGGTTGCCCCAGCCCAAAGCTGTGTCCCACCAAGACAGATTTCTTAGAAGAACGTTTTTATCTGGGGTCCTTAACTCCTATCATTGTTCCCCTAAACATATTGGATTATTTATTATAAAGGAAAAGTAGGCTTCATTGATCTGGACCCATCAATAAAAAGGCTTTTTATGTCTAATCTCTTTTGATAGAAATATTCTTTGTTTTCCCTAATGGACCTGAAAAATAAAGCCAATAAATAGATGGAAAAAAAACTTATAGCCTTATTTTTATAATTGTCAGTCAACTTTTTTTCTCTCTTCGGAGGTTTTCTAAAACACTAAAAATTTGCGATATCCCTGCTTGGATCTTTGTCTAAATTATTTACCAATGATGCTTCTTGCCTGATTGCTATCTGAAGGAGATCAATGTTTTCACAATTAGCAAGAATTCCAGTGGATGCTGCAAGCCACAGCTGTTCCCCACAGCAAGGCAATGTGGGCAGTGGCCCCGGGGTCGTGTGTTTTGAGGGGGTTCCTAACTGCTGCCAAGAAATCAGTTACAGGAACTGCCAGCCACCCAAGTAGCGCTGGAACGCTGTTCCCAGTGAGTCAGCCTGGGAGTCAGCCACTAAAGCCACAGTTCTGCTCCCTGCCACTCCCAGCCCATCCTCATCTGGCTGCTTCCTTCTCCATCCTTGCCGACTCCAATGAGAACCACATCCACTTGGAGCTGGATGAGAACTTGGAGATTATCTAGCACCCTCCACCATTTCACAGAAGAGGAATCCAAGGTTCAGAGAGGGAAAGGTGGTCCGTGTCACCTGGCTCCTGGACCCCGGTGCACCACGCACCCCTGTGCTCACTTAGGAGTGGAGAAGATTGCATTGGGCTGTATTCCCCAGAGAAGGCGCCCTGGATGTTTTCAAAAAAAAATAGTTTGATAAAGCTGAGAGTGTGGGAGGGTGAGACCCCACCCCAGTTCCCCAGGACATGGTCAAGCTATGAAAGACAAGTGCAAATCGCTAAGCAGGAGGCTAAGAGATAAAAGGGGAGGGTTTATTTGAAGAAGAAAAGAGACGGAAAGAGCTCTCTGTTTCCAAAGAAGAGAATGAAGCCAGTAAAATAGTAGGGGGATTGTGTATTTGACAGCCCTCCACAACCCAAAATCTTCAGCAAAATAAATATGCACATTCACAAAACCTTTGGCATGAGGGGATTTATAGTGAAAAGTAACATAGGAAACCAACCAAGGGGCTAAGTTTGGTCCATGCTGTTCAGGGAAGAAACAATATATAAGGAAACAGGAGTCCAGGGGCCAGAGGAAGCCATTAGACTCTCAGTCCCTGTGAGTTTGTAAATATCTAGGGGAGGGCTTTGGACTTCCATGGGCTATTGGATTGGTGGGGATTTGTACCAGTTGTACCCAGATCTCTGAAATGCAAGGGCTGATACTTTGCAGTGGCATAAAGATATAAAGACATCTTTGTGGAAGCAGGGGAGCTGCCCACAGTGTGCCTGGCCCACCTCAGGATGGCCCTGAAGGGTCTGGGTCACAAGACATTTAATCTGGGCCTAGAATAAAAATGAACCATGGAAATGAGGCAGCAGCCTATAGTAGGAAAAATATTTAGTGGAAGGGCAGGATCCCTGTTGTAGTCAGTTTGGGCTGCTAAAACAAAGTATCATAAACTGGTGGCTTATAAACAACAGAATTTGTTTCTCACAGTTCTGGGGACTGGAAGTCTGGGATCAGGGTGCCAGGATGGCCAGAGGCTGGCGAGAGCCCTTTTCTGGGTTACAGATGGCTGTCTTCTCTTTGTATCCTCACACGGCAGAAAGATAGCCAGAGAGCTCTCTGGGGTCTCTCTCATAAGGGCTCCCATTCGTGAGGGCTCCATGCTCATAACCTAATCACCTCCCAAAGGCCCCACCTCCTAGTACCGTCCCATTGAGGGTCAGGATTTCATTGTGTAATACACACAATGGAGGGAAGCAAACCTTCAGTCCATTTCAACCTCTTTGTAGCCATACTCAGGATAAATTTGGTGTGAGTGGGTTGGGTAAGAGAAGAGGAAGAGAACACACCCCTCATAGTCCTTCTTGATGTACTTATCTGCATACTGACCTGTGACCCACCTCCATGGATCACGTGTCACCTTCATAAAAGCTGGAGTCCCTTAGGTTCAAAGAAGTGTCACAATCAAAGAAACAGCCTAGCAGATGAAACAAATGTAAAAGCTATTCTCATGTTTACTTGGGTTTCTCAAATATCATTTATGGAACTCCCACGTACAACCCCCAGCAATACCTACTAAAATTCCCTGTGGTGTCTTCCCCAGTGCTTGAGTACCCTAGAACCACATCTTCAACCCCCAACTGCAAACTCTCCCTATTGAAAATTATCTGTGTCTTTATCCCTCTCTTCTCCCCCTTTGCTCTATGTCATGTAGATCAACTTAGCCTCTCCAACTTCTATTTTCATTTTTTCTTCATTTTTGATCAGTGCCCTGATTCTCCCCAGCAAAGGAGAGTCAAGAAACTGACCCAACCAGTGCAAATCCTTCCTTTTCCTTCCTGTCACTCCAGTCTTGATCCTCCTTTCTCCTAAGTGTGCATCACAAGAAGGATGGGAACAAAGCTGCTGAAACCGGAACTCTCCCAGGGGCAGGGAGAAGGAGAAGGAGAGGGCGAAGCCAGTGGGCAAAACTAAACTCTCAAAGGAGAAGGGTAAACAAAGCTGGAGCACATATGTTAATACATCTTTCACTACTATCAATGGAATATGCAGTTTTAGGGGACTTATTGAGTTTTAAACTCTTCTTGTGCATCTAAATCTTGCTAAATTTCCCCATTTACGAGGACTGAGTGGTCAAGTTATAGGTGGTCTGATGACTACTGACTTCATCACCGTTTCTGGAAAAGCAAAACATCTGAAAAAAGATTCTTTAATTTCTTTAACTGAAAAGTAACAATGTTGGTCAGTAAGAGTCAACACTACTTCTTAATCCAATCTAAGAGCCCAATTTCAGACCCTGAGCTTGGCCCTGGTAGATAAGTGCTTGCCAAATACAGTTTAATACGGAATTGTCAAGAGCAAAGTCTAGTCCGTAGCTTATAAATTTTCCCAACAAGCTCACAAGTACATTCTGTTCTTACTGAGTAAAATCTCTAAGAACTGCTCATATCCAGGCTTCTTAGGGCCTCCGTGGGAGAGGTGATACTCTGATATGTCTGCCTTTGCTTTCCCCAGTGGTGTGAGCAGAACGAGCAGTGCAGACGTCTGCACCTGCCAGAGTTGCTGGTGGCTCCACTACACAGGCTTACTCGATACCCACTGTTGCTGAAGAATATCTGGAAAAGGAGTATAGACACTGCTGAGAAAATCATGATCTACTCCATCAAGGAAAAGGTGGAAAAGTCAATCCGTAAGTCCCTGAGATAAGTGAGCTTAATGAAAGAGTTGGGGCCCTGTGACTCCTGGGAACCATCTGAGCTTCCATCCTAGAAGGTAATTCCACTGACCTGAGGTCATGGCTGTCGGAAACGTGGACTCAGCTTTGAGTGCGTTGTAAATCAAACACACACAGAACAATGGGCTCCAGTCACATCCTGGCGGACCCTATGAGAACTCTAACACCCGGCTTACACAGGACGTGGCTCTGTCTCCAAGGGTTTCAGAAGTGAGTTCAGGCAGGAAAACTTCTACTTCCCAGATGATGGGAGGCACTTTGTTTTTAACATCCATACTGAACCCACACACAAAGCAAATGGGATAAACACCATGGAAAGCGTATCCGGAGGATAAATTACCATTCATCATTTTTTTTAAATCCCTGAAATCCAGAGCCAATGTAAAAATAATGTCAACTGCAGTCTTTAGAACTGAAACATGGGGATGGGAACTGAGCAAGCCCTAAGATGACTTAAGTTTATTTGTGTAGTTCTGTGTAATGGAAACTCAAATAAAGAATTCCATGATTTATGTCCATAAACCAAGATTTCCTGGTAGGCATCAAAAGGGAACAGTTCAATTGGATAATTATCAGCTGTATAGAAATGATATTCTTTTTCTTTTGCAAGTTTAAAGATAAAATGATCATTTAGTTGGGATTTCTTTTCTCTTTTTAAATTTCTTATTCAAATTCTAAAATTACCTGAAGAACTGGAATTAAGTTTATCAAATGAATAAGACAAAAATTCCATTAAAGACTGATTTTTTAAAAACTTAAAAAATAATTTTAAGGATTATTACTCATTTGAATAGGTTTGTGAGGGAAGATAATGGTAGCTCTTCTGGAAATTTTGCAATAAAATAAAGATTCTCATTGTTGAGGGAAGAAATCTGTATGGCCTTCCTTTAAGTCTAATACCTTAAAGAGGATGAATTCTCAGGGGTTCCACTAACAATACGATTCTGTGTGTGTATGCCTTCCAGTCCATCTTTGCAAAAACCATTTCAAAAGCCCAATAGCAATATTGAGAATTTTTTTATAAAATGTTGGAAAATTAATACAAACCTTTATAAGAGAAATTGAGTTCTTAGCAAAAAGAAATAATCATCTTCATCATGAAGTGAAAGTGTGTTTTATGATCAGCACAAAAAGATATATTTGTCCTTGTTAGTCTTATTTTTTTTCTTCCTCTAATTACTGGCTCTGTGGTTTAGGGAATAAGAGAAAACTACCAAGGGCTTTATTAGTGTTATTGAAATGAAAATGCACAATGCATCTCCAACTTACTGAATTAAATTGCGTAAGCTTCATTTTTCTCTGCAAGAGGCTGACTTCAAATTAGTGAGTTTTCTAAGACACAAAAACAGCAAGCAATTTGTCAAATGAGCCTAAAATATGGTTTAGCTCCAAGGGCAGCCAGTGTCTCTAATGATGACTGTGGACCTTGGTTAAAATTTATGCTACAGTGTCACATGCATTTAAATATATACTGAATGTGTCTTGTCTTTCAGGAGACCTTGAAGGAAAAGTGAAGTGGCTGGACAATTTCCAAAAATTTAGACATCTACAGGAGATTATAGTGTGGCCTCCGCTTTGGGATAGAGATAAAAGGTTTTTCATTCCAGAGGTACAAAAAAAGATCAATTCAGACTTAAATCCCTTTCCGGAAGTTTGGCATTCAGGTGGAAATACAATAGTCTTAGAAAGTCCCCATCTGTCCACTTGAAGGATAAATCTAGTTTTATGAGCAAGAAGTGAAGCCTTCGTCCATGGGGCACTGTACATGGGGAGGTGAATGTCATTGTGACATTCTTGGGATGGTCCTTCTCAAAAGTTTTCTCATTCTTTCTCATTCACATGTCTATCTGCTGGCATTCCCAAATGTCGTGAACTTTCTAGATGGAGTTGATTATCCCAGCTCCTTGATCATGTTCTCTTCCAGTCACTAACAACATCTCTTTTATTTTCTCCCTTGTTTTGCAAGTGTTTGAAACACATTTTTAAAGAACACATGGCAGAAAACGTCTTGTCACCAACCAACAGACACCTTCTCTATGAAGGCAAATTAACTCTTGCAGGTAAATAACTGCTTCCTTTAAAAACTCAACATGTTCCCTACCTTGTAACTTGTTCAATTGCCGTTAATTGAAGGGTAGGAGGAAGGGCAGACCCCGAGAGAGACAAGGCTCCCAGCAAAGGCATAGAAGGATGGGCCCCGGAGGCTGGCTGCCTGGCTCACTCCCTGCGTGGCTGTTTTGGCCTGTGCAACCCTTGGGCCAGTGACAGCAACTTCCCATGCTTCAGAGATAGAGTAAAATAAGAAAGGAGATATCTTATTCTAACATTTGGTTTCTCTTGTACTGCTATTCCCTTCCTAAGGAAAAGTAAAGAAGCCTATTTGCCTTCAGTACCTATCAAAAGTAGTATCAGAAAAGTTCATAAATATAAACTATGTGAGAATATTTAAACATTTGTAGACACATTCTAAAATTTGAGAAATTAGTTTTAATGATGGTCTTAGTCAGCATGGGCTACCGTAACAAAATACCAGAGAATGAGTGGCTTAAACAGCAGAAATTTATTTCTCACAGTCTGGGAAGTCCCAGATCAAGGTCAGTCTCTAATGGGGGCTCTCTTCGAGATGAGAGAGAGTGAGCTCTCTGGGGTCTCCTCTTATTAGAACACTAATGCGACTGGATCAGGCTTCTAGCCTTTTGACCTCATTTTAGTTTAATTACTTTCTTACTCCAAATACAGCCATACTGGGGGTTAGGACTTCAACGTAGGAAGTTTGAGGGGACACAGCATAGTCCATAGCAGTGACAAAATGCCTTTCTCTGATACATGCCCTTCCAATAACCACCCAGATGGATCAAGAGGCAGAAATGCCACGAGTTCAATTAGTTGATGGATTTGTCCTAGGCTTATTTGAAGCCATTACAAATATCACCCGAGTTATCTTAGATTCACATGAGATGCATCACGAATACAACTGTCTTTAAAATTGGAAGCTTGTGCTCTAATCAAGTCTGCTTTAGGAAGAAATCAATTCCACATTAATGCAGGCAGTTTTCTGACCTACATGATTGGAGCTCCCTGGTGTTCCATAATACCCACCTTGTTTTTTTTATTAAGGAGTTCATTGATTTAAGTTAAATTAAAAACCCGTCTACTTCCTGTTTCAATCCCCATTTCACCTTCTCTTTCTCTCCTCAGAAAGCACAAGATTCCTAGACGTTTATCTGTTTCTCTTTGATGATTTCCTCTTAGTTACCAAAATGAAGCGCAACAAAAAGGTAAAATGCTGCTATTTCTAAATAAGTTTGCTACATGAGTTTAGAAATATTTCTAGATAAGTTGTGTTAAAAATATAAAATATTCTTATACATCAAATTGGATCTCTCCCTCTAAAAAGTGGAGGTGTTATAAAATATTGGTTTTTTTAGTCAGAAAGCTCTGAATTGAAAAAACAAAAACAAAAGCAAAAGCAAACTACATCTCTCAAGGACGTCGAGGGAGGTATACATTGTGTTAATTTTTTATTTTTAGTTAGTACGGGCACATAAAGCTGAATATCTTTATAGGGTACATGTGATGTTTTGATACAGGAATACAATGTGAATTAATCAAATCAGGGCAATTGGGGTATCCATCACCTCAGGCACTTAACATTGCTTTGTGTTGGGAAAATTTCAATTCCACTCTTTTAGTTATTTTAAAGTATACACTAACTTATTGGTGATTATAGTCACTTTGTTGTGCTATCAAATATTGTTCATTCTATCCAACTATATTTTTGCACACATGAACCATCCCTCCTTTATCCCCTGCCCCTTGCTACCCTTCTCAGCCTCTGGTAAGCATCATTCTACTCTCTGTCTCCATGAGATCAATTGTTTTTAATATTTAGCTCCCACATATGAGTGAGAACACGTGATATTTGTCTTTCTGTGCTTGGCTTATTTCACTTAACAAAATGTTCTCCAGTTCCATCCATGGTTTGCAACTGGCAGGATTTCATTCTTGTTTGTGGCTATGTAATATTCCAATCATCCATTGATGGACCCTTAGGTTGATTCCATATCTTGGCTATTGTGACTAGTGCTACAATAAACATGGGAGTGTAGATATGTTTTCAATATACTGAATTCCCCTTCTTTGGCTATATACCCAGCAGTGGGATTGCTGGGTCATGTGGTAATTCTATTTTTAGTTTTTTGAGAAACCTCCATACTGTTCTCCATAGTGGCTACACTAATTTACATTCTCACCAACAGTGTACGAGGATTCCCCTTTCTCCACATCCTCGCCAGCATTCATTATTGCCTGTTGTTTAATAAAAGCCATTTTAACTGAAGAGCATATTTAACTGAGAGGATAGTTCATTGTAGTTTTGATTTGAATTTCTCTGATGACTAATGATGTTGAACATTTTTTCATACACCTGTTGGCCATTTGTATGTCTTCTTTTGAGAAATGTTTATTCAGATCCTTTGTCCATTTTTTAATCAGATTATTTGAATTTTCTCTTACTGAATTGTTAGAGCTCCTTATATATTCTAGTTATTAATCCCTTGTCAGATGGGTAGTTTGAAAATACTTTCTCCATTCTGAGTTGCTTCTTCACTTTGTTGATTATTTCCTTTGCCATACAGAGCTTTTTAGTTTGATGTGATCCCATTTGTCCACTTTTGCTTTGGTTGTCTGTGCTTTGCGGATATTACTCAAGAAGTCCTTGCCCAGACCAATGTCTTGAAGTATTTCCCCAATGTTTCATAGTTTCAGGTCTTAGATTTAAGTCTTTAATCCATTTTGATTTGATTTTTGCATACAGCAAGAGTTTAGTTTCATTCTTTTGCATATGGATACCCAGTTTTCCCAGCACCATTTATTGAAGAGAATGCCCTTTCCCCACTTGTGTTCTTGGTGCTTTTGTCAAAGATAAGTTCACTGTAGATGGTGTGGATTTATTTCTGGGTTCTCTATTCTGTTCCATTGGTCTATGTCTATTTTTATGCCAGTACCATGTTGTTTGGTTACTACAGATCTGTAGCAAAATTTGAAGTCAGGTAATGTGATTCCACCAGTTTTGTTCTATTTGTTCAGTATGGCTTTGGCTATTTTGGGTCTTTTGGGGTTCCATATAAATTTTAGGATTATTTTTTCTATTCCTGTGAAGAATGTCATTAGTATTTTGATAGGGATTACATTGAATATGTAGATTGCTTTGGGTAGTATAGACATTTTAACAATATTGACTCTTCCAATCCATAAACGTGGAATATAAAATATTTTTTTGTTTGAGGAGGAATTGCCGTATGTATTAACCCATCAGAGATAACTAATGTTTTTTATTCTACTCGTTTCTTTACCAAATAGCTAGCCTTACACAGACAATAAGATCATAAGACTAGAAATCTCATATCTTTTAATAAGCTAAGCTTCTGGATGGTATTGGTTGGTTGAGCTAGGGGTGGGGAACCAGCAGTCTCAAGGTCGCATGTGGCCCTCCAGATCCCCAAGGGCAACCTCTTGACCAGATCCAAACTTCACAGAACAAATCCCTTTATTGAAAGGATTTGTTCTGTAAAATTTTGATTTAGTCAAAAGGCCACACTCAAGGATCCAGAAGGCCACATGTGGCCCCAAGGCTGCAGGTTCCCTTAAGCAATTAAAAATAGACACCTATTAATCAATCTATGACTAGCTGATTGGTGGTTTGGGATTGAGTGGCTGTTGGACAGTATTAAGAGTCATAGTCTGGGAATTTGTATGGCCTCCTATTTTAGGTTATTCAGAGCAGCATGTCTGAACAAACCAAGTTCTGAAAATCTCTACCCCTTTCAAAAACCTCGATGCTACCACAGCTGACCTTCCCTTCAAATAATGGTACAAATCAGAACACATGCATTTAACAGCAGCCCATATTGACAAGGCAATATTCTGGTTTCATGCTTTACAACTTGATTTCAAAATAAAGACTGTTACCAGTTTACATGTCCCTTTGCTATTTTATATACAATATATATCATGCCAATCACAATATTTTACATCCTTTTAAAAAATTTCAGCATCTTATATAGTCAATTATCTACAAATTCTAGAGCATGGAATCTAGCTAGAGTTTAGTATTAGATCCCATGCATAGAGTTGGCCTTTCTCATTCATCTAACTGAATACTATAGAGAGATTAAGACGCTGGGGGTGAAGATCTGCCCATTGATGTGGTGATTTATTTACTCAGGTAATTAATCTTGGTGAATCAGAAACACTTTGCTTTAAATCACTATGTGTTGGGGAAATGCTTTTTAGGATCCAGAAAAGATAGTCAGCTAGATTTCAAGCAATTGTTTTTAAGAATCTGTTTGCTTAAGGACGCACTTTAGGTATCTGTGGCAATATTTACTTTCTATTTATCACATTATTTTCCTTATTAATTTCAGAAAGTTGGAGGCTCAGACACTGGTTTAATGTGTCCTTCTCTTACTCCTGAGCTGCAAACAGTAATAAAGGAGGGCGGTTCGTGTACAGTACTTGACCAGCCTATTCCACTGGATAGACTGGTAGTCAAAAGTATCGATCCACTCCACGTGTCAGGTATGTGTTCATTTCCATTATTCAGATCATGTGTTTGCCATCACACAGTTTTACATTGGCTTTTTTTTGGTAGCAGGACATGAATCCGATTAAAGTCTTCGTAAAAGATAAGACTGTGTTCGTATGTGGCTATACATCATTCGCTCTATGAATTAGTTATCGAGATGATCTAGTGCTGCCAGATGATCCAGTGCTGCCACTTGCTAGCTGTTTGACCTCGGCCAAGGCATTTCAATTTTCTACGCCTCGGGTTCCCTTTGGTAAAATAGGGATAATAAATCTACTTCAGTGGGTTTTCATGAGAATTAAATGAAATAATGTATATAATGCAGTCAATAAATGATAGGTGTTGTTGTATTATTATAGTAACATTATTAGTATTAATACTATTACTATTGTTAAAGTACTGGTGAACCATGATGTGCTATGCAAGCATATTTTATTATGCTGTAGAAAGAAATATGTCAGAAATTAAATATATAAATATATATGCATGTATACACACACGCACATATCAGAAATATATATCATTTTTAATCTTTTATTCAAGCATTTCCTGTGTGTCTCCTGAGAGCCAAGCACTCAGCAGGCTCCGCAGTTACAAAGATGAATAAGAAACAGCCCTCGTCCGTGGGGAGCTCTCCAGAATAATGAAAGATCAGTAAATCCTTTGCAGGAAAGCCATGGGACTCTGAGGGACTTGAAGGACATTTCGGTCTTCTCGGGCTGGGTAGGTGGCGGCAGTGTTCAGGAGGATGCAGGCTCGTAGACCAGCTGAGGCCAGGCGGGTGGGAATTGCCCTCCTGTTCCACGGGAGGAGCAGGAAAAGTGGGGACACTGACCATTCCCCTCAATCGCCACCCCAGCAGGCAAGCCCAGAGCTTCAATGACTAGCACAGGACAAACCCATACATCCTAGAGCAACCTTAAGGAATGGATGAATGAATATACAAACAATAGCAAACATTGATACAGTTATGCTATATAACTGAGCTATATTATATATTTAAGTGCTGTCCATATATTAAGTTGTGAATGGCTGCAACCTTGCTCGCCACGTGCAGAAGGGAAGCCTCTATCCAGAAATAGAGCCATCTGCCTCCTGTGTCTATTGTGACAAGGGTGGGCCTTAGGCCTCTTGTATTTGATCTGACTGGGACCAGCCACAGTCTCTATGGGCCGGAGTCTGCGTAAGCCTCAGAGCTGTACCGGCGCAGGCTTGTAAAGGGCTGCGTCCGGTGGCGCAGCCCCTGCCGGGTGGGGGCGCACACCTCCAGCCTGGGTCCCCTAGGCGCTCCAGGGCTGGCAAAGGAGTCTAGATGCAGCAGATTCAGTACTTAGGGCTAGAAATCACTTCCATTTTGTGATTTGTTGTTTAGTTTACTTTTTCATGTTAAATAAATATCGTGGAAGGGGGCATCCTGTGCTGGAACTGGTCCTCTCAGGACAGTGGGTATCCTTGGAGATTCTGCACATGAACGGACCTGGGTGGAGGAAGACGCCATAAGCCCCAGGAGGCAGAGAGGAAGCAGCTGGGCTGAGGGCTCAGTGTAGTCACCGCCCTGCCAACGTTAAGACCTGGACTTAACCGGAAATCTGACATCACTGGATTACCTTGGGACATGCATGTTTTCTCTCCATTTCTTCTTTTTTTAATGAAAACAATACCTTTTTAAAAACTCTATTTCCACTTTTTTAGTTCTGATTTTTAACTACCATCTGTTGTTCCTTTTCTTAAATATTTTTCTCCTCCCTCTGGTCTATTATCTTGACTGTTCAGACGCAGTGTAGGAGGCACAGTGGCCACAGAGTGGGACAGAGGAGATGGGGACCAAAGAAAGAGGTTGAGCTTTCAAGTGACAGGGACCTAATTCAAAATCCTGGCTATGTCATTTACAAGCTTTGTGGTCTTGGAAAAATTAATTTAAGTCTGTTTCCTGATGTGCAGGTGGGAATTAGCTGACCTATCTTACAGGGTTGCTGTATGGTTTAAATGACACAAAATGGAGAAAAAACAGTGTGGTGCCGGTATATAGTAAATGCTTTAAAAACGGTGTCAATTATTATATGAAAATGTCAGGGAAAAAAGAGCTATTCCTGTCCATATATTATCTCCTTATTGTATTTTACAGGCCTGGCCATGCCAGGTTCTTTTTTTGCTTATAAAGTCCTTTGTACCAATATTTCAAACCAAACCGATGAGGGATACCTGGAATAAACTGAGAACTACAGGTACAATTTTTGAGGAAAATGGGTTCCGAAAACCAGCCAAAAACAACAATTTGATCTTTAAAGCCTCACTTGCTACAGGGAATTTATAAGGAGAAAGATCAGGGAGTAAAATAAACATAGCCATATTTTTTTTCCCCCAGAAAGTCATTTTAATAGGTGTAAATCCCCTCACCCCAGAGAAGCTGGACAGAATTTCATGACCTGACCTTAACAGACTTTATTATAGTAGAATTTAGGAATTATGAGGTTTCGGATGTTATGGGTATGATCTGTGATACTGGAATAGTTCTTGCAGTTAAGAAAATAAAATCTGGCATTCACTTGCATTCTGAAATGAGGCCCAACCCCCCTCAAAAAAGTCAGAGTTAAACTCACAAAATCAACAAGTAAAAACAAGGGCAGTGGACACGCATCAGCTTCATGATCGACCAGGAATAAAAGTTTCTGGTTCTTTTCCTGCTCCCTGAAGTATTTGATATGAGCAGTAGACAGCCCTGGTTTGGTTTTTTGTTTGTTTCTAAACATTAATTGACTATAGCAAGAATTATAAACTGCAGAATTTTATTCCCTGTGTTGTAGTAATAGTTTAAGGAAGAGATTTTCATTTTAAGAGCTCCTGCTATATTAAAAAAGAAAAAAAAAAGGAATCTGCTCTCCCAGTATCTCCTTGTCATTTCTTTGAGACCAGCTAGGAAATGACAGAATAGACTTTCTTTTACACACACAGAAACCATGCCAACATCCCTTTTGGTTTTATTTTGTTTCACATTTCACACAATTTGGTACATACTGCATTTTCTTTGAGTCAGTTTTTTGGCTTTTCTCAGCCTATCATGAGGCATTCAGGTGGTTTTGTATTTTTGCCACATCTTAATTTGTTTATAAATCTTGTTTTGATGTGACTTTTCTTAAATACAAAAATAAATTAAGTATTTAAAAAAGGAACGGGGGGACAAAGAAGAAAATTACATTGTTTTCCATATTTTTATTATCTGTATTTTCATACACACAAGACCCACCTAATGTGCTCCTCTTGTTCTATGAGCAAGAGCCTGTTTCCCCTCACTTAAGCCATAATTGCATTTCAAGTCCCAGAAGTCGTTAGCTAAGGAAGAAAGGGTTTTGTATTCAAGTGGGCTGTATTTGGACGTAATACTGGAGTCTTGGCCTTGGAATCCATTTTTTTTTAGCAATCTACATAAATCTCCCACCACCATTAAAAGAAAAAAACAAAAACAAAAAACAAACCCCAGGTTCTTGTACTACGAAATTATTTGGATTTCATATGAAATGATTTGGCTTTTTGTCTTTGTAATATCTTTTTCTAGTCTTTGGGCTGAGAAATGCTTTTCTTATACAACACGAAAACAGATATCGACAGTGTATAGCAGCATTCTTATTACAAGCCCAAACGGAAAACATCAAAGTATGTATTTTAATTTTGTAGGTCTTTGATTCTTTGGAGTTTATATAAGGAAAAATCTCACCCTAAGTCTCTTAAGTAACGGTGAATGGAGTATTGTGAGCTTCCCTCACTGGCTTTGGGAAGGGCAGAGTTGGGAGGAGAGGGGAGACATCTAGTCCAGATCATGGTGGGAGCCTCAGTGTTGACAACTTGCTCGCACTTGCAGAGTCCACACAACCTCTCTCACTTACTCCTGCCGCAGAAGCTCAAGGGCTGTCCCTGAGTTCTGTACTTTCCATAGGAAATGCGGGAAGAGTTGCTTTGGATTGCATGACTAAATTTTAAGATGCTCCAATCAATTTCCAAAGTGCAAATAATGTGATACCAACTTAAGTGAGGGCCTGCTGCAATAACGAGCCAATCGAGTCAGCTCAACCTTTGAAAATACGCCATTGTTTTTACAGCTATGGAGTTGAAAGAGCAGCTGCCTGACTCTGGTTTCTCTATCTTAGCAGTTTCTATGTTTCTATTTCCCCTGGAAGGCTTTCATCACAGCAACAATATGGCCAGACAATAAATGCAATATTGCATTATTCTTAAGAATTCAGTTTCCTGGGTCACTTCCCTCATAGTCTGTTTTTCAAATTATATCATAGGTTAAGAACTTTTGTTTCCACGCAAAATGGAAATTCAAGAAATTCAACTTTCAAACTATACATATTCTCAGTACTCATTTTCCTAATTAGTCATCATTGACTATTATGGTTCCTTGATTACTCATGACTGTTATCCAACTTGCATACCATACTCATTTAACCCATTTGCATTTTCCTATATGATTAGAGGTATTTACATTAGATGTAAGAAGAAAATGGGAAACATATGCAAATGTTTCGTTAGTCTTCAATTTTAAAGAACAAGTCAATAAATATAGTGGAAAATATTAATCTAAAGGTGAGAAATTGTCAGTTTAACATTCTTTTATATTTATATATTTTTTCTTTTTTTTCTAGATGTAACATTTGACAAGCCCAACTCTCTCAAGGATAGTAATTGTTATTTACAGCTGCAAAGTATTCAATTACATGGATATACACAGTTTATTTAACCTGATCCCTATTGATGGGTATTGATTTTATTTATATATTTTTTCTTTTTTTTCTAGATGTAACATTTGACAAGCCCAACTCTCTCAAGGATAGTAATTGCTATTTAGCCCACCTTGTCAGTCAGCAGTGGCAGAAAACAGATTATATTGTGTATTATATTCACTGTTTTCCACCTGTTTTTATGACCTAGTGCACTTACTGAATCTTCATTTTTCCTACAGGTTGCATTTGTAATGTAACATATCCTACAGGATATGTCCCTGTAGCCAAAAATGGAAATAATTCCTTTGTGAAATGTGAATGTTTTGAAAACATGAATAGTCAGATAGAAGATGGAAGAGGCATAAAAATGATATGAGAAAAGAGGGTAAAACAAAATTAAAAAAAATGGAGAGAACCTTATGGCTTTTGTCATACTTGCCAGCCCCCCAGAAGTGATGTACACATCTTATACAGGATACCATAGTAGGAAGTGAAGGAAATATAATACAGCAGAGCTGTGTATTGAGATATTTTTTTTCAAATTCTCATTTGGATACAGATCTTCTTCTCTTTTGGCTTGACCATATAAGTACATAATCATTCATGTGAATGATGTAAGTCAATACTTTCTTTTTTTTTTCTGCTCCCCCCAACACTTCCTTATTGACTTCCTTTCCCATTCTCCTCAGTGGTTGTATTATACCTTTACTACTCTCCTTGCATCCTTAGTCTACCTCCTGATTAAAACCCTCATTTGGCCTTCAAATATGCTCAGTCCTCTCCACTCAGAAAATGGACAAAAAGAGTGATGTATTTTATCTTCTCTTCTTTCTCTCTTCTAACAGACTCTCAAGAGTAATCTATACCATTTTCATTCTTATGCCTCCATTGAGGCTTTTTAAATTTCTTCTAATAAAATCTATTTTTAAGAGAAATTTTAGATTCACAGCAAAAATGGGCAGAAGGTAAAGAAATTTCCCATGTACTCCTAGGTCCCACACATGCACAGCCTGCCCCATTACCAACATCCCCTACCAGAGTAGCACGTTTGTTATGATACAGTTGATGAATCTACATTGACACATCATTATCATCCCAAATCCACAGTTTACATTAAGGTTCACTCTTGGTGTTGTACATTTCGTGGGTTTGGAAAAATGTACAATGACATGTATCCACCACTAGAGCATCACATAGAATAGATTCACTGCCATAAAAATCCTCTGTGTTCTGCCTATTCATCCCTCCCTCCCCTCAACTCTGGCAACCAATGCTCTTTTTACTGTTTTCATAGTTTTGCTCTGTCCAGAATGTCATATAGATGGAATCATGTAGTATGTAGCCTTTTCAACACTGGCTTCCACCACTTAGTAATATACATTTGTTTCCTCCATGTCTTTGCATGGTTTGACAGCTCGTTTTTTTAGCATGAATAAAATTCCATTGTCTGGATGTACCAAAGTTTATCCATTCACCTAGTGAAGAATACCTTGGTTGCCTCCAAGTTTTGGCAATTATGAAGAAAAGCTGATATAAACACGTTTTTATTATAACACATTGTTTTGTATGTGTGTACATAAGTTTTCAACTCCTTTGGGTAAATATCAAGGGGTATAATTCTGGATCCTATGGTAAGAATATATTTAGTTTTGTAAGAAACTGCCAAACTATCTTCCAAAGTAGCTATATGATTTTTCATTCCCACCAACAATTAATAAGAATTCCCATTGCTCCACAACCTCGACAGCATTTGGTGTTCTCAGTGCTCTGGATTTTTGCCATTCTGATAGGTATGTAGTAGAAACTCGTTGTTTTAACAAGTTAGTCTTAAATTCACTGAACTGTGTTTTTCCCTCTATTACTCCACTAAAATTGCTTAAAACTCACTTCTTGATTGTCAAATAGACTTTTAATTGTTCACCTACATTGATTTCTTTGCAATATCTATCTTCTCTTCTCTTGGTTTACCTGGCAATACTATTTTGATTCTCCTTATCATTTACTTTTATCTGGCTGAAATACTAATATACTAGTATTTCATCTGCTCTACTGTTCACAGATGAACATATTCTTGTTATAATCTTTCTACAGTCCCTATGATATCAACTATATAAAATTATTTCTCCAGTATTAAACTTTCTTCTCAATGCAAGATTCATTTTACTTCACCTACCAAACTTTGATGATCCATGTAGTTCTCCAATAGAAGCCTCAAGTATATTATGCCCCCCCAAATAGTAGTAGTAATAATAATTATTATTGTAATGGCAGAAATAATAATATAGTTTATAGTCATTATTTGTTTTATGGAGATAAAACCCCATGAGAGGGAATTAATCCACATGTTTTGTTGTGGACAAAACTGAGCATCAGAATTAAGAAAAGCGCACAATGTCAAAAAGCCAGTACAGGAGTCTCTTGGTTGAATCACTGGGATTTTCTAGATGTAATATCATATCATCAGCAAAGAGTGAGAGTTTGACCTCTTCTGACCCCATTTGGACACCCTTAATTCCCGTCTCTTGTCTGATTGCTCTGGCAAAGACTTCCAGCACTATGTTGAAGAGAAGTGGAGATAGTGGGCAACCTTGTCTGGTTCCAGTTCTAAGTGGTCATTAGTACATATTTTATATACAACCTATCTTACAGTTTCAATAACTAATTTGGCTGTTTATCTTTCGCAGCTAAGCAAATAGAAAGAAAAGAAGGTTTCACTAAATAATATTTCAATAGATAATTTACTTAGGTTAGGAATCTCAGCCAGGTATGGTGGCTCAGACTTGTAATCCTAGAACTTTGGGAGGCTGAGGAAGAAGGATTGCTTGAGGTCAAGAGTTTAAGACCAGCCTGAGCAAAAGCAAGACCCTCTCTCTACAAAACAGAAAAATCAGCCCACGTGGTGCCCTACACCTGTAGTCCCAGCTACTCGGGAGGCTGAGGCAGAAGGATTGCTGGAGCCCAGGAGTTCGAGGTTGCAGTGAGCTATAGTGACGCCACTGCACTTTAGCTTGGGTGACAGAGCAAGAT